TAAAATAAAAAGAAAATGGGTTTCCCTGGCCAAAACTCAAGGTGTCTGCAGGGCCGCGCTCCAGGGGCTCCAGCAGAGAGTCCCTTCTTTCACTTTCCAGATTCCAGAGGCCACTCCATCCCCCGGCTCGTGGCCACCTTCCACCTTCCAAGCCAGCAGTGACCCTGCTCCTGCTGTCACTCTGACCCTCTTGCCTCCCTTTTATAGGGACCCAGTATCATCTCCCATTCACAGTCTTTACCTCAGTCACCCCTGCAGGGTCCCTTTGCCATATGAGGTGACATATCCAAAGTTCCCGGGATTAGGGCCTGGACATCTCTGGGGCCATCATTCAGTCGACCACAGGGGTGGCAGCTCTTGCAGGAGCACCTTCCTTTCCTGCAGTTTGGCCAGAGGAGCTCCTGCCCCCATCAACATGCTGCACACAACCTCCTCTGGTCACACGGGCCAGCCAGGACCTGCTCAAGGGCAGGGCTGCATCTCCTCTTCCTCAGCCCACCGGCCCCCAGGGCCCAGCCCATGCCTGGCCCACAGCAGCTGGAGGCCAGAAGCTTAGCCTGGCACTGGTCTTTGCTGAGCAGCAGCAGGGGCGCTGTGGCTACCGCCCGGGCAGCTGCCTGCGGATGGCCCTGGGCAGCGATTTTCCATCTTTTTCATCTCATGGCACATATAAACTAATTACTAAAATTATGCAGCACAGCAAAAAAAAATTATTTTTTTGCTGACCTGACAAAAAAAATAGCTATAATTTTGACTTATTCATACCAGACGCCTATTGTGTTGACTATTGTCATATTTTTATTTGACAATTTAAACCTTAGATTCTAAGGGAAAAGAGGTCAGTGCCCCTGACTAACGGTCAGGTACTTCATGTTTTAAAAAGTCTTCCAGGCCCTGGCCTGTTTGGCTCAGTGGTTAGAGAGTCGGCCTGCGGTACAGAGAGACCCGGGTTCGGTTCCCGCTAAGGGCACGTACCTCGGTTGCAGTTTGTCCCCGGCCCTGGTTGGTTGTGCGGGTGGCAACCATTCGATGTGTCCCTTTCACATTGATGTTTCTCTCTCTCTCTCCCTCTCACTCTATCTGAACAAAAAATAGAAAAATGTCCTTGGGTGAGGATAAAAATTCTTGCGGGCACTGTGCGATGTGGCTCAGAGGTTAGAGTGTTGGCCTGCAGACCAGAGAGTCCTGGGTTCGGTTCCTGCTAAGGGCACGTACCTCGGTTGCAGTTTGTCCCCGGCCCTGGTTGGGGTGGGGTGGGTGGCAGCCACTCAATGTGTCTCTCTCACATCAATGTTTCTCTCTCTCTCTTCCCCCTTCTTTCCTCCCAATCTATCTGAAGATAAATGCAAAAATGTCCTCGGGTGAGGATAAAAAAAAAAAAAAAGTACCTTTAAAAAAAATTAAAATAAAAAGACTTGCAACCCGGCCGGTGTGGCTCAGTGGTTGAGAATCGACCCATGCATCAAGAGGTCACCGGTTCAATTCCTGGTCAGGACACATGCCCAGGTTGTGGGCTGAATCCCCAGTGGGGGGCATGCAGGAGGCGGCCGATTGATGTTCTCTCTCATGGATGTTTCTGTCTCTCTCTCTTTCCCTTCCTCTCTCTCTCGAATCAGTAAAGAAATATTCTTAAATAATAATAATAAAATAAAAGGCCTTGTGGCACACCAGTTGAAAATCGCTGCCCTAGGGTCCAGGGCAGGTGAGGGCAGAGAGCTCCCTGTGCCAGCAGGAGGCAGGATCAGTACCTGGGCAGAGAGAGAGCCTAGGGGACTCAGCAGTCAGAAGCCACCTGGGACCCCAACCCAAGCTTCCTGCAGATCGTGGCTGAGAGCTGGGCTGTGCTGGGCTAGAGAGAGCCAGCCATGGCTGGAGCAGGGCCACTCCACAGGCAGAACCTGGACAACAGTGTCATCAGACCAGAGTCTCAGAGTCAGTCTCTGGGGGACTGAGGTCCAAACACAGACTGGGCTGGGCGCATGGAACTGATCCTAATCAGAAGCCCCTCACCTGGGGCATGGCCTCACCCCAGGGCATGGTGAAGGCTCAGGAATGACCAATCACGTCCACATCCATAGGGAGGCCTGGCCTGTCACACATCCCTCCTTTCTCCCTGCAGCCTTTCCCTGGGGCCTGCAGTGGCCCCGCCCACCACCCTCTCCCAGGTCCGATCCCAGGCAAAGGACACAGGCAGCTTCAAAGACCCACTCATGGCAGTTTGGCCCGGGCAGGTCCTGTTCTTGGATTGGTACTGAGCACCTTTGTATAGCTCTCCAGATGACTGAGGAATGACTAGAAGCAATCAACAGCCCAGTGGCCCCCATTTGCAGGAAAGGTGTAGATGTCACTGGGTGGGAGAGGCATCATCTCCTCCTGAAGGGGGTGGAGCCTAGAGCTGAAGGGCAAGGACCCAGGGAGGGGTGGAGTGGCATCTGTGACCTCCCATCCCCATGGATGGGTGGCCCCCATGTCAGGGAAGGAGATCAGGTCCATGAGTAACCATGGGGCCCAGGGGCCGGACATATGCCAAGCTGGGAGGGGACTACCCTGTCCTTAGAACCTGGACCATAAGCAGTGGCAGCTTTGGGAGCCACAGCTGATGGGACTCTGGGATCCTCCCAGGCAACACCACAGGGGCTGGTCCAGGGGAGCAAAGCACCCAGTGGTGGCCACAGTGAGGTGGGGGCCGTGGTCACAGAGAGAGGGCCCCTACTGGGCTGAATAGTATATCCAAAACTCGAGTCCACCTGGACTTCAGAAATTGGGCCTGTGCATATATGGTCAAGTTAAGAGGAGTTGAGGCGGGAGTAGGGTGGGCCCTGATCCAGTGATGGTGCCCTTTAAGAAGGAGACGTGGACACAGGCACTGATGGGGACAGCTGAGTGACCACGGAGGCAAAGGATAGCTATAAGCCAAGGAATGCCATGGATTGCCAGCCGGTGACACCAGACCCCAGGAGAGAGGTACAGGACAGATCCCCCCCACCCCGCCACCCAGGAGTCTGGAAGGAACCAGCCCTGAAGACCCTGGATTTTTTTTTTTTTTTAATTGATGTTAGAGAGGAAGGGAGAAAGAGAGAAGCATCCATTTGGTTTTCTACTTATGTATGCATTCATTGGTTGGTTCTTGTATGTGCCACAACTGGGGATTGAACCCTCAGCCTTGGGGTATCGGGACGATGCTCTAACCAACTGATCTACCCAGCCAGGGCCCAAAGAGACCCCGGATTATAGACTTCTGGCCTCCAGACTGTGAGAGAATCCTTTCTGTTGTTTTCAGCACGCTGTTCGCTGTCGTGGTGATTGGTTATGGTGGCCTCAGGACATTGTGCAGCACCACAGGGCAGAGGGGCCAGGCCACCTGGAAGAGTGGGAGATTGCAGGGAGCAGACCCTCTGGGGTCCTTCTTGTGGCTGTAATACATTGGGGAGGTGCAGTGAGGATGCCCTCCAGGCAGGTTCCACAGGTGGGAGGGGGTACCAAGCCCCCCCCCCCGGAAGTTTTGGGAGCCAAAAAAGGAACCAGAGAAGGGAGGTGCCATCTCCGCCTGGACTTGGGCTGGAGGCCTGAGGGGAGGGGCAGGGGTTCCACTGCAGCTCCGGGGTGGTGTGAGGTGGCAGGAGAGGGCTGAGCAGGGGCTCCAGGCCCCCTCCTACTTGAGCCCTCCATCTGCGCCCTGGCTGGTGGTCCCCAGCCTTCCTCCCTTGGCCTTCTCCGGTGCTGGCCAGGAGCCCCGTTCACCCAGAGCGCTGAACAAGCAGGATGTCCTCTAGAGAAGGCTACTCCAGAAGTCAAAATAGCATGAAATTTAATTTTCCGCCTATTTGACAAGGCTTGGTTGGGGCCCCAATCAGCAGCGGAGATAAGGGTCCTCGGCCGGGTGTGAGCCAGCTGGGCGCACAGCAAACACTCTACGGTCCCCAGGCAGGCCGAGGCTCCCCCTTGCTGGGCCCTGGTTGCCGGGCGCTAAAGCAAACGGATTCTATTTGCCCAGTCTGCGATGACAATGCAGTCCCCAAATATTTGCCAGCCTGGCCGGCAGCAGAGCCCGGCTATAAATGCTTGAGCCCAGGTGGAGGTGGGCCTGCCCAGCAGAGCCGCAGCCTCACAGGTAAGAGCAGGGCTGGGCAGCAGGCGGGAGGGTACCGACTGTGGGATCTGGCCTCCTCTCCTTGCCCAGGTGGTCTTAGGGGACCACACACCCCTGGGAGGGGTCACCAGCAGGGCCGGCAGGGCCAGGCCATGTAGGGTGGGGTGGGGTGAGGGGAGGAAGGTACTTGTCTTAGCTCCCTGTGAGTGGCCACCCCCACAGCTGGGGCCACTAGGTGCCCCGCAGGAAAGAGGGGCCCAGCACTGTGGACAAGACTGGGAGCACAGTGTGGCCCACAGGCTGCAGGGAGGAGGGGAGGCCTGTGCTCCCCAGGTCCACCTGACTCTGAATGATGCCGGTGGACGCACCCGGCCCCAGGGAGGTGTTTTCTGACAAGCCAGGAGCCCCTCTCCTTCTCTCTGCATCACCTTCCCTGTCTTTCTTTGGCTCACTCATCTGCTTCCCAGCTGCGGAGGGCAATGCCCAACATGTCCCTGGGTGGGGGGAGTCTCTGGCATTCAGAATCAGTCCCCCAACCGCCCTGTAAGGGGAGACCCTGACAGTCTCCTCCTCAAATCCGCTCCCCATCCTCCCAAGTCTCAGCCAAGAGGCCGCCACAGGTCTTTTTCGCCTCCTGCTGACCTGGGCAAACCCTGGAGCATTGTCTCATTCACCCCTAGCTCCCCTGACAGGGAACAAATGAGCCTGGGATTGCGACCACACTTATTAGAATGAGATAGGATGGGAGAAATGGGGGACAGGAGAGATGGTACTGGCTCTGAAGCCCCCAAAGCTGGGCTCAGCGTGGGCATCTCAGGGATGGCAGGATGCTGCAGGCCCTGACTGATAACCTGTCCCCTCTCCACCTCCCTCCCTAGCAGGCGCCTGCTGCCCCCGCGGCCCCAGAATCTCCAGCGTGGAGGACATGGCCGCAGGCGTGATCCGGCCTCTCTGTGACTTCCAGCTGCCCCTGCCATCCCTTCGGCCCTTCCTGCCCCCAGACCTAGAGCCTCCAGACACTTCTGAGGAGGAGGAAGAAGAGGAAGAGGAGGAGGAAGAGGAGGAGGAGGAAGAGGTGGGGGAGGAAGAAGAGGATCTGGAGGGTAAGGGGCCAGGGGCCCACAGCCCGGCCCCCCAGAGCTCAGGTTGGGCCATAGTTACTCCAGAAGAGGCCCCTCCGTGCCCGAGCAGTCCCGAGATGCCCCTGCAGCTGCTGCGGTTCTCTGAACTCATCAGCGGTGACATCCAGAGGTACTTTGGCCGAAAGGACAGGGGGCAGGACCCAGATGCCTGCGACATCTACGCCGATGGCCACCCGGCCGGCAGCTCAGCCAGGGAGCTCTACTGCGCAGACCTGGCCCGGGGAGGGTCACCCGACAATGACAAAGCTGCTGAGCCTGGGGACCACTCTCACAGGGGTCCCGAGCGGCAGGTGCATGAGACAAGCCTCGGCGGGGAAAGGGCGCAGCCGCTGGGGCCCCTGGCAGAGCTGTTCGACTATGGGCTGAGGCAGTTCCCGGGGCCCAGGGTGTCACCTGGCCACCGGCTGAGGCTGGAGCAGAAGTACGGCCACATCACCCCCATGACCCAGAGGAAGCTGCCCCCCTCCTTCTGGAAGGAGCCGGCACCCAGCCCCCTGGGCCTGCTGCACCCTGGTACGCCCGACTTCAGTGACCTGCTGGCTAGCTGGTCGGTGGAGGCTGGCCCAGAGCCGCCCGGCAGGGGCACCCAGGCCCTGGAGGAGGTGCAGCTGGCTGAGGCCTCGTGAGCAGGCCAGGGTGGGCAGGGCAGCAGGGGCTGTGGCAGCGGGTCTGGAATCTCCTTCTGACTGTCCTGGGAGGGGCTCCAGGACCCTCCAAGGGGGGCGACCACCAGGAGGACAAACCGCTTAGGTGGGTACTTTCCAGGCCCAGGAAGATGGACAAGATTCATCCTGGGACCCTGAACTGCCACCACCAAAGGCCACCAGGACAGGAATGGACAGGGGTTGAAATCCCCACCATCTGACCGGGCCACGCTGGCCTTCAGCCCTTGGAGTTCTGCCCACAGGAAGGGAGGGCAGGGCAGGGGCTGTGGCCACTCGGAGGCTGTGGGCTCAAGAGGCCTACACACTGCCCATCCAGACCAGCCCCGAAGATCCCAAGGAAAACCCTCCCACTGCCCACCCACTGGCTGGTCCCAGGTGGACCCTCCTCAAGGCCCCGAAGCAGGTGGCAGGGCCAGCTACCCAGATGAGCCACGTTTTCCTGGAGAGGCAGGAGGAGAGGGCGCTGCTGAGTGCATGAGCAGTTTGCTCCCTAGATGACGGCAGGAAGAGCTGCTTCTCTGCTGGGCACCTCGCAGGTATGAAGGGCATGGCTGACAGGCACAGGTCTGAAGCTGGGCCGGCCTGGCTGCTGGGGAACCAGCCAGGATCCCAGGCTGCTGTGCCTGCTGGTGGGAAGGCCCAGGAAAACGGCTGGGCCTGGGGATCGGCTGGGCTTGGGCAGGAGAAGGGCATTCGGGAGCCTGGGGATGGACAGGTTTTGAAGATGGATTCTCTTGGTCACTCCCTCCACCTCGGTCTCCTGACCCCGAGGAAATTCCAGGCTCTGACAGATACAGGAGCTGGCATGTTTATTTCTTGGAAAGGGGCAAGACGGTGAGCTGGCGGGCACACTCCTGGCCCAGAGACCTCTCCAAGACTCTTCTTGGCTTCTGCTGGGCCACCTGGTTCATGAGGACCGCCTTCCACTGCAGCCACCTGCTTGGAGACATGACTCATGGCCTGCTGCCCTCGGGGCCTCCCCGGCCCTGAACCTAGACCTGGAGGGGTCTCTAGAAGGCAGTCCCCACCCGTTCACCTCACAGCCTGATATACGCCCCAGCGGTTCATGGGGACCGCCTCGCCAGAGGCCACATCCTTGACAAACTGTCGTCTCTCCAGAGACAGGACCTTCCTGCTGCCCAGCATCAGGGCCCCGGGGGCCTGCTCGCTCCACAGGTGCACCAGGCACTCCTTCAGGGCCGCCATCTCCTCCATGCGCTGAGGACGGAGGCGGGAGGGACTGATGTGGGGGTGCAGGAATGGGACAGCACACAGAATTATCTTCCTCTGGGCAAACCAAAACCTTATCTGCCTGGAAACACTGCTCAGATCAGACATGCAGACAGACAGACGGATGGCAGGGGAGATAGAGGGGTGGGCAGGCTGGGGGGGCGAGGAGGAGCTGGGAGTTAGGATCTGCAGAGAGCAGTCCACCTTCCTGGCCTGGGATTCCTGGAGCCGCAGGGGGAGGGCCTGTCCCGCCAGCCCAGGGTCGCCTCTCACCAGCTTGGTTTCCGAATTAAACTTGAGGTTCTGGATGGTCTTGTTGTCCTGGATGCTGTTTTCCAATTTCATTATTTGGTTCTGAAACTAAATACTGCCCTCCATTCATGGACATGGAAGCAGCCCCCACCCCAATTCCTCAGAGCAGGAACTGACCTCTGACATGCAGGTCCTCACCCCTGGTGGGCTCTGGGGGCACCACTCAGCCAGTGATCAGGTGGGACCCAGCCCATGCTCAGGGCTGCTCCTTTCACCGTGATGGCTGATGCCCCCAGCGTTTGGGTCTCCAACAGGTACCCCAACTTGGAACTTCCAAAGTCTAAGACATGGGGAGTCCCCCGAGAGGACACCTGTGAACCGCCCTGGGGACCCTCCACGGGGGCGCCCCTCTTCCGAGCGTGACAGGCAGTGTGAGAGGTACCGTGGCCAGCTTGCCCTGGATCTCCGCGATCTTGCGCCCAGGGTTGCCCTCCCTGAGCAGCTGCACAGACGACAGCACCGCAGCCAGCTCCTGCCGCAGGGCCCCGACCGCGGACTCTCTGTGAGCACAGGAGGCCAAGGCTGCCAGACGCTGGGGCGGGAAGCGCTCTGGAGGCAGGGGCGGGGTGAGTGGAGGGAGGAGGCCCTGGGCAGAGCCACCCCTCCGGTGGGGACTGAGCAGTCCCCAACATGTAACAGAGGGGAAGACTTGGGGGGCAGATCCATGCAGGCTGCCCTTAAGCAGGGCCAGGCCAGGTCTGGGAGGGGTTAGAGCTGCCACCAGTGCCAGGAGCTTGGGGAGGAACAAGCCTCGTGGGTGCAGCAAGGTGGTTCTGAGTCCACTCCCCGACGTCAGCTCAGTGGAGCTCACTCCCCTGCGGAGGGTCACGGCTCTGCCAGGCTTCTGCCGGGAGCTGAGCCTCACCTGGCTTTGCCCTCAGTGGAGATCTTGAGGTCTGAGTCACTCTTGTGCAGGATGCACCTGTCAGAGACGGCTTCTATCTGGAACAGGGCAGAAGCTGGGTGGGCTGGTGGCGCACGGTGGCACAGCAGGGGAGGGAGGTGTAACCCTGGCCCTCACCCACCTGCCGGGGCAGGCTGTCCACTGTCTCCTGCACCTCCCGCAGGGACGCCTGGGCCTCCTTTCGGCACCAGGCCAGGCCCTCCATCGATCTCCGCTCTGCGCCTTCCCACTCACTCTTTGCCTAGGACACAGACACCCAGTGAGGCCGGAGCCTGGAATGGGAGGGTGGACAGACAGACTGGGCACACCTCTGGCTCCGAGTACATGCACACAGCCCAGACAGCCCAGTCAAGCACACACCAGGCCTGGCTCAGCCCCTCCCACCCTTGCTGCCCACTGGGAGTCAGTTAGGGACAGGGACAGAGAAAAGACAGTCTTCCCACATATGCAAGGGAAGAGATGCCGGGCAGGCCTGGGGGCCTGGCCTCGCAACCCAAGGGTATACGCATGTGTCCACACAGTGCCTGCCATCCGTATCACCAAAAAGGGCAGCAGCCAGTGTCCATCGGCTGACAAGAAGATGAACAAGTTGTGGGCCATCACAGAGTGGAACAGTGCTCAGCCTCGAAAAGGACAACAATGCTACAACCCAGCCACGCTCAGGGAGAAAAGCCAGCCGCAGAAGATCACGCAGCGTGTGATTCCATTTCTATGAAATGTACAGAACAGGCAAATCCACAGAGACAGAGCAGATAGTGGGTGCCAGGGGCTGGGGGGAGGGTGGGGACTGACTGCTAATGAGGACAGGGTCTCCTTTTGGGGTGATGAAAACCTTCTAAAAGTGATGATGGTGATGGTTGTACAACTGAATATATGAAAAAAAATACTGAACTATGCATTTTAAAGGGGTGAATTTTATGGTGGGAGAATTATACTTCAATAAAGCTGTTACCAAAAAAAGGCAGAGGTCACCCTCCTGGCCCCTCCATGGAGCCCCCTGTGTGGTCGGGCCTCTGGGGCCTCTGAGCGTCTCAGCAGCTGACCTTGGGCTGCCATGCTCTGAGCAGGAGGTCTCCAGGGCTCAAGACCACCCTCAGTCTTCCGGGCAGTCACTGGGTGCTCCAGGGACCTGCTGGTCAGGCCTCCATCCTCAGGAAGCCAGAGGGGAGCCGGGACCCCTGCCCAGGCTGCCTTTCCCCGGGCAGCACCGCAGCCGTACCTCGCACAGCCTCTGGGTCAGCGTCTGTTCCTGCAGGTCCAGCCTCCAGCTCAGGGCCAAGAAGTGGTCATTCAGGTCCCTCACCTGTCTGACCAGCTCAGCCACGGACCCCTCTAAGGCCTGGCTCTTCTCTTGGAGCTGTGGGAGGTTGGGCTGGGTGTGGGTACCTGCGCAGAGGGGGGATCCCAGGAGGAGACCTGACCCCGCCCTGCAGCCCTCACCAGCTCCAGGGCGCTGTGCGTCTTCTGCCGGGCCAGCTCGCTGGCCAGCTGCATGGCTTCCAGGTTCTCCTGCAGGTAGGCAGGCAGCTCCCCAGCCTGGCTTTGCTCCAAGTGGCCCTTGATGTCCCTGGGGGTTGGTGCCACTGAGAGAGACTGTCCCTCAGCTGAAGCTGGCCCACCCCTCAGAGCTGGGCCAGGGAGGTGAGCCTGGCTGCTGGTTCCAGAACCTTCTAAGAGACCCAGTGGGGCAGAGGATGGGAGTGTCGTCACAGGGGCCACCAAAACGAGGCTGTGTCCATCGCTGCCATGCTGAGTTCTCCCATGAAGGGCAGGCTGGGGAGGGGGTGGCCATACTGCCCTGGGCACCACTGGGCCCGGAGCTGGGCTCAGGATGCTGGGGTGTGGGGAGAGCGGCCATTTCCATCCGCCCAGCCTGACAGCTCCCGTTCTCTGCCCACTGCCCCATTTGGATACCCACCGGGCCTTCTGCTCGGCCAGCAGGACACGGTTCAGCGACACCTGGTTCTGGCGCACAAACTTAGTCAGCTGGACCACAGCCCTGTCCAGGCCCCGGCACTGCTCCAGGAGGTAGCACTCTTCCTGCTGTGGCGCAGAGGAGGCCCTGAGATCTGTGCCGCCCCTGCCGGGCGCCCAGCTTGTGCTCAGCCTGAGCTCCCACCTTGCACTGTCCCCGCAGGGCCTGTGCGCGCTCCTCGGCCAGCTCCTGGAGATGCTGCCACCTGCTTTCCAGCTCCTCCCGCAGGCTGCTCTCCACCTTCAGCCGTGTGCTCTCGGAGGTTTTCATTCTCTTCGAGAGACCCCATCCACTGCTGTGAGCCAGGTGAGTAGGGGACGCAGCAGAGCCCCACCAACCCACAAGCTCCCACCTTCTCCAGGGCCAGGAAGCTCTTCTGCAGGAAGCCACACAGCTTGGCCTCCCTCTTGAGGAAGCGAAGGCTCATCTCCTCGCCCAGTTTGGTCACCTGGGCCTGTGGAGGGGGGAGCACATGGACACGGTGCGGCCACCACAGTGCTGGGTGCCCTCTTCCCACAGCCGACCCCCAACCCCCATGCCATCTCAGACTTGTTTTCTTGCCCAGCTGTCTCCATCAGAGGGCGCTCTGGGTCCTGTGTCCCTGGCTATCCTGAGCTCCTGCCACACCCTCCTTAGGAAGAAGGGCCAGGAAGGCAGGGGTCACATGACCTCCCAGAGGGCCAGGCATAAGGGCTGTGAAGGGTCTGCAGGGCAAGCTCATGTGGGTCTAGAACACACGTGGTGCCCATAGTAGTGACCACTGGATGCCACTCAGGGAAGAAGGTGTAGCGGCTACCACCAAATCACACCCAGAGCTGGGAGCCTCAGGAAGGGAGGAGGTCAAGTGCATGTGTGAGCACACACATGCATACACGTGCACATGTACACACTCAGGCACACAAGGGCACATATGAACATAGCACACCCATGCACACTCACACACACACTCCTTGCCCTGGTCCAGGCCCAGGTAAGGGCCCTTCCCATCCCTCTCTCCTCCCTGTCAGCTCCCTTCCTGCTGCACCAAGGGTCTTAAGGGTACAGGACACAGAGGAGTCAAGGGCCAGCCTGGCCCTGTCTCCCTGCCTCACACACCCACAGGGCCTGCTCTGGGAGGAGGCACCTTCTCCAAGGCCACAGAGCCCTTGCCAGCCTCCCTGCCCCGTGCAAAGTGACCTGGGGTAGGGCTGGGCAAATGATCTGTAAAGAGCCAGAGAACAGAGGTTTCAGGTTTATGGAACACGGAATCTATATCACAGCTCCTCAGCTCTGCGGTTCCAGTGCAAAAGCAGCTGTGGACGATGGTAAATGAATGGGAATGGCTGTGCGCCGATAAAACTATTTACAAAACCAGGTGCGGGCATAGCGTGTAGACCCAGCCCGAGAGTGGACTTAAGGAAGAGGCAGGCATCCCACCACGTGACTGTCGTGGGAATCCCCCAGGGCCCAGTGCTATTGGAGCTCCTAGCCAGGGGGCGGCCAGCAGCCTCTTGAGGGAACTAAGACACTAACTTCCCAAAAGGCAGCGGGAGGGAAACACCGCCGAAGCTGAGCAGCCGAGCTATGTGGGCAGCAGCTGGGGCCTCCCTGGTGTGCAGCGCAGTCCCTGGTCTCTATTTGCAGAGCTGAAGAGGCTGCCCCATCCCCTGACCCACCTCCTGAGGGGCCCCACACAGGGGGAAACTGCCCCAGCCCGGGAGCACAGGCACTGGGAGGTGCACCTCCAGGAAGGCCATTTCCGCTTTGCGTGAGGGAAGCACCAAGGTTAAAGATGACCGAGGAAGGGGCTTCTGGCTACAATATTCTATTTTTTAAAAATTATTCCTTACCCGAGGATATTTTTTCCATTAGTCTTTTTAGAGAGAGTGGGAGGGAGGGGGTGGAGAGAGAGAGAGAGAGAAAGATTGATGTGAGAAAGACACACCTATTGGTTACCTCCCGCATGACCCAACTGGGGCCGGGGACGAAATGCAACCGAGGTACGAGCCCTTGACCGAAATCGAACCCGTAACTTATTGGTCCATGGGCCGATGCGCTAACCACTGAGCAACACCGGCCAGGGCGACGTTCTATTTCTTGATTTGGGTGCTGGTTACACAGGAAGGGGAGGAGGAGGAGCAGCGGCTGAGATAGCACTAACGACGAAACTTTATGTGATGAAGAAGGTGCTCCTTGGTGCAGCCCCAATCTGCAGCCACTGGCCATGCGTGGTCACTGAGCATTTGAAATTTGGCTCATGTGATGGAGGAACCGAGTTTTAAATTGTCTAAAATATTAGCTAATTTCAATATCCAGAGCCACCTGTGGCTAGTGGCCACTGTATCAGACAGCGGAAGACTTGGGGATCACCCCCTAAGTCTGACCATGTGGAGAGAACTAAAATGGAGGGAGGGAAGACTCTATTAGGGGAAGGACATAGGCTGGGCTGGGAGCGTGGGGATTTATTCCAGATGGATCATGCCCCTGGCAGCCCAGCTGGCTGCCCAAATGCCAGAGCCCTGCCTGGGTTACCTGCAGCCTGGCCACCTCATGGTCTACCCTCTGGCTGGCCTCCTCCTGGCTCCTCTGCAGGGCACCGCAGGCCACCTCCCGGTTCTGCTCCTCCTGCTCCAACTTCCCGGCCAACTTGGCCAACCTGAGGGCACCAACCAAATGTCACAGCAGCCTGGCCAGCCAGAGGGCCTGGCTGAGGAGCCACAGGGAGGCTGGCAGGGCCCTTGAACTTCAAGAGTCCTTCTCAGGTCAAGGCCTACACATGGGGGCCTAGACTGACCTACAGGCCTGCAGAGCAGGAGGTACATAGCTTGCCTGAGTAAACACAAAGAAGCAGGCAAGACGCTGGCTTCCCTGTCCCCAGCTGGGATGGTGAGAGCTGGGCCCTGGTAAGCATGGCCTATGGGAAAGGGGACCCCCAAGCTCAAGTCTTTTTCCCACAGAGGATCCCCAGGGTCCCCATCAATGCACAGCTTGGCACCACGGAGAAGTGAACACCTGCCCTGCTTTGGTGATTCCCACACACAATACACAGCAGATCCAGAACCAGCCCCTGGAGAGGGAGGTGAGAGGTGCCCACCTGAGGCTGGCCTCCTGCTCGGTGCCCTTCCGCTCAGAGTCCTGGAGAGCTTGCTTCCTCCTGATCTGGGTCAGGGCCTCACGGACCTCCACCAACCTGGCACACAGAGTCGCTTCTGCCTGGGGCCTGCCCAGCCCACCCTCCCGGGGGCCAGGAGAAGCCCAGAACAGGCTGGGCAGCCTTCAGGGGCTGGGACCCTGGCCAAGGGCCCCAGCAGCAAGCTTCCAACCCCTTTCTTGGGCCTCTGTAGGCTGCCGAGGCTCACAAGCCCACACCGTTTGAGTTCTGCCATTGGTGTGTACTGCTCACCTGAGCAAGACAACGAATTAGGGAAACAAAACCCTATGGCTGATGCCCTGATAGGTCCAGCACCAGCCACTGCTCTCCCCAAACCCCTTCCCTCCTGCTAAGGACTGTGCCACAAGTGTGGGGATACCTCTTGTCCAGGGCCTTCATCTTGTTCTGGTTCTGGGGGCTGGGGAACTGCAAGGAGGAGGGTGTAGGCTGAGTGCAGGCCTGGGCCCTCCCAGCCAGATCAGCACAGACACAGCCTATGGGGATTCTCTGGGCTCCCAGCCTAGGCAGCCAGAGTTGAGCTGGGCTCAGGCTCCAGGAAGCAGCTGCCCCAGCACTCAGGAATGGGGGAGCCTGGCCTGTGGGTGGGGTGAGCTGCCTCCCAGCAGATGATGGCTCACCTCCAGGCCCTCCTTCTCAGGAGCCCAAGCTGCCTGTTGTACCTCTTGCTTCAGCTTCTTCAGCTCGGAGTCTTGCAGCTGCACACTGGCCTGCACCTGGCGCAGCTCCTGTAGCAGGCTCAGTGTGGCACACTCACAATGCTTCTTGTGTCCCCGAAGGGACGCCACCTCGGCCTGCAAGTCGGCCACCCTGGGCGGGAGCAGGCTGAGTCGGCACACGTGCACAGGGCTGACGTGTGGCTCTCCCACCCTGCTCCACACGGGGCTCACCGTTGCTCCAGCTGCTTCCAGCGCTTGGGGGTGTCCTGCTCTGGGACAGAGGTGGTGGATGCCAGGTGGCTGGACTCATACCTCTCTGAGATCTCCTCCAGACTCAGGGGCTCGACACTGCCCAGCCCTTCCTCCAGGAGGAGCTCCAGGTCCTCCAAGGTGATAGTGCTTAGTTGAGAAGGGGGCGAAGCCCCGGATGAGGGGTTGCTATCGGCCAGCTCTGCAAGGAGGCACCTTCGGGCTCCCCACTTGGCCTTCTGGGCTGACCAGGGATACCGGTTCCCAGATGGAGCTTAGCGTAACAGAGACCTAAAATCAGTGTGACTGTCACTGAGTGTGCCTGCTGAGCTTAGTGGGGCTCATTCTGCTGAGTCACACAGCCCACCCTGCCCAGAGAGCTTGGCTCTCACTGCTGGACCACGGGAAGCTCAGGTGCACACCCCACACCCTCGCCTGAGGACACCCACACTGTGCAGCAGAAATGGGCCAATGCCCTGCCTGGCCAGCTCCAGAGGGAGCCTCCAGGCTGTGAAACAACCTGGGGGTCAGAAAGCAGCTGTCCCCTGTGGTCCACACCCCTATGCAGTCCTCTACCTGGTCTGTCCTCGTGGCTCCGACCCCCGTTGGCACCTGGCTCACCTGATTCAGCTTCACTAGCAGCGTTTTTGGGCTTTGGCCACTACCAAGAGGCCCTGGGCCTAGCACCCCAAGGCTGCCCAGAAGTGGAAACCAGGGTGGTCGGTGGTGAGCAGTGGCTAGAGGCAGGGAAGTCAGATCTGGAAGGCTTCAGGAGCTTGGGGGAACACGTGGGACGTGAAGGGGTGAGCTCCTGTCACATCATACCTCCTTCCAAAACAATACCAAAGCAGGAAGGGCAGTGGGGGCTCTTCTGGAACTTTCTTTTCCTCACCAGAACCTTCTGACTTCCTGGCCCAACTGCCAGTGGAACCTAAGCCAACTCTCCTGTTCCTGCAAGGGCTCCCCAACTGCCTGTTTCTGGAAGGATCCGAGGGGACACCATTCAGCCAGCCAGAGGTTAGGGTCAGACCTCTGGCTTGGCCTGGGCTAGAGGGATGCCAAGGAGCAACTGCTGGCCCTCTGGTAGTTAAACCAAAGCAGGAAGGCTGGGATCCCCTGATGGACTGAATAGACAGTCCTGCACCCAAGAAAACAGAGGCCCTGAAGGACTATCCAAAGAAACAGGGTGATGCCACATGTCTGGGCTGCACCGGTGACATGAACTTTCTCAGAAGCCACAGGAAGAAAGTAGCCAGGTGGAGTGAATTTCAATTGTCCATTTTATTTAACCCAGTTCATCTAAAATATTATTTCAACATGTACTCAATACAAAGTGAGCAAGATGCTGTACTTGCTCTCTCTACACCGAGTCTTCGAAGGCTGGTGAAGGGTGTTCCATGTCTCAGTTCAGGCCAGTGTGGATGGACACTCCAGCCTCTCGCCCCACCCAGGTGTCACCCAGACCTGCCCACTGAGGGCTGGCTGGGGACGTCCCTGTGATAAGAATGCTTGTTAACCTCCCCTCCAGGGGGAGCCACACCACACACCTCATGGCCAAACAGATGAGGTTGGAGACAGACATGCAGAGCAGAGGTGAAGTGCCTCTGGGGAGAACGTCTACCCCCCCCGCCCCCCATCTCTGCAGCTGCCCCAGGAGCAACACTGCTCAGACATTTGAAGAGGATGCTGTGGTGGTGCCAGGGGTCTCCCTCCTGCAGGATGTGTGAGGGCCACAGCTGCACACCTGCAGGTTTCTGGGCCTCTCATCTGTGTCTCCCTCCCAGGGATGTCTACACTGGGGTGTGCCCCCCCGTACCACACACTGAGGAGGGCCTCATCCCAGACACCCCCACCCCATGGCCCTGCAATCCCAGGCTGCTAGACTGTGGTCCATGCTGAGCAGGAGCAGGAACGGGAAGCCGGCTAGGTATAATTATTTTATTTCTTCCATTCAGACCCCCCACATTCAGACCTAATACCCCCACAGAGGACTCACCACCAGGACCGGACCTGCGATTTAAGACCCCACCCCCTTGAAAGAGGCTAAAACCAAGGTGCGATACCCACGAGTTCACCACAAAGGAATCACCTACTCAGAGATGGGCTGGGGACTTGAGAATCACCTTATAAAGGGTCTTATGGGACCAGCCCCACCTGGCCTGAGGGGCAGAGCATCCTTGCCCCAGGCTCACCAGCCCGTCCCAAAGCCCACCTGCCAGGACCAGAACCAGAGCTGCCCCAGGAACATCACCGTGGGCCAGGGGTCCTCAGAGGCCTTTGTCATACCCTCCAGCCCCCATGCTGAGAAGACCCTCCTTCCCAGCCACTGTCCACATGTGGCGATAGCTGTTCATCTGGACTCTAGCTCCGAGGTCTTGGGGTGACAAGCGTGGTTCTCGGCGCTCCTTTGGCCAAGGCTCCATCACAGAGCCCATGGCATCCTGAGTGGGGTTGCAGCCCTGGGGGCACACATGATGAATCTGGGAGAGAAGCCAGCTTCCTGACAGACCCTGCTCCAGGATCTGCTCTCCGGGGCTGTCCTGCTGCCCCAAACCCTTGCCTTTGGGCATCCAGCTGGGCCTTTGTCCAGGTAGGTCCCAGCTGCACAGGCCTATCCCCTCACGGCCACAGACTGAGCCGAGAGAACAAGGCCAAAGGCCTCTGCTGCAGCTCCACGTCCCCCAGGACTCCAGCTGGCAGTGTGCAGGCGGCGTGGTCCTTCTGGGCCAGCACTGAGGGTAACGAGGAGCAGAGAAGCAGGCATGGGGGCCCCGCTCTGGGTGCCTGCAGCACTGAAATCCACAGGGCCCAGCTCGCTCGCTGTCTCACAGACATGTGAACACAGACAGACACACGCACTGAAACACACACATGCACACACAACCTCTCGCGGGCTCTCGGGAAGCGAGCATTTGCACGAACATCTGATCCCTGAAGGTGAAGAAACAGGAGGATGGAGAGTGACATCCAAGGGGCTGAGGCAAGGGGGAGGGTAGAGAACACTGACAAGGCGCCCATGTGATGGTCATGCTCACACACCAGCTGGGCCGTCCCCGAGGTCTGGAGGACAATGGATCTGCTGCTGCCCGAGGAGCGAGGTGAGGACCCCAGGTGAGGTGCCAGGGCCAGGGTCTCACGTCTGGGCCAGTGAAAGCTCCTCTAGGCCCCCCTTCCCAAGCCGGTACCTGGCCAAGTCTTTCCTGGTTACCAGCCCGACCACCTGTGGGAACAAAGCCAGGCCATGGGAATCTAGTAACCCCACCCCACCTCTGTGAAAGCATGTGAGGGAACAGACCCGGAGGGGGGCTTACGGCCAGTCTAGGTCCTGGGCCTTGGAGTCCCCTGCAAAAGCTGAGAGTAACTGTGCAGCTGTGGCCAGGGCAGGCCGGTCAGGATGCAGAGGGGCCCTATGCCCTCCCTGGCTACTCACCTGATTGTGGTTGTCCACTACCACCAGGTGCCTGAGGCCCAGGGCCCGGAACAGCTTGAACACCCGAGGGAGAGATGCCTCCTGCAACATGGTCATGGTCTAAGCTTGCCTGCCAGCCCAGACTGGCCCCAGCCGAGAGCAGAGCAGGACCCACCAAGCTCAGGGTCAGCTGTCTCCCATCATACCTGCCACCACCAGGACATCAAGATGTGTCCGAAACCATCCCTTCCCCTCCATGCCAGCCAGTCAGCCCTGCTATGCTACTGGCATCTGGCTCCACAGCCATGCCCACCCTAGCCCCTCCCTGGCAGGCCATTGAGGCCATTTCAAGACCCTGACAAGTGGGAGTCAGGCACCTGGGGCACTGTGTAGGGGGAAGGGTTCATGAATTCAGAGAGGTCCATGGTGCACTCGCGCTCATCCTGGGACACATGGATGGACTGGATTGGGGGGAAGCGTGGGTAGGCGTCCCGGAAGTCCTTCAGCCTCAGCCGCCGCTGTACCAAGCCCCTGTTGGACCGCTCAACAAATACCTGAGGGCAGAGGTAATGAGCAGTGAGTAGGGCAGGTCAGAACCTCAGCACCCAGCCTGGCGTCTCCCACCACCCAGAGATGCTGAGGAGCCTACCTTGTGCTTCAAGAGGACAATCAGCTGGGAGCGTAGGATGAGGCCCTGGAGCCGGGCTGACTGTAGGAAGGAGACAACACATGGCCTTGTCTGTGGGCAAAGTCCAAGACCTATAACCCTGTCTACCTGGTTGCAGGCCCTGCTGACAGCTCAGAGGTGTGAACAGGAGGGCAGGGAGTGTCTGAGCAGCAGTTCCAGGACGTCTGCTTGGCGACCCTGGCTCTAGTCAGGTTCCCCACCATGCTCCCCATCAATGTATGGTCACTGTCTACTAGCACCGGCCCTGCCAAAGGCATTATACCTGCACCAGCTTGTTAATCCCTAACACCTGGGAGGGGACGCAGGGCCACAATGCAGAGCAAGGAGCAAAGAGCCTGGGTTGCAGCATGTGCCAGGGCGAGATACAGACCCGACCCTCACAAAATTCATCACAAACCTTTGGGGGCATGGTACTGGGCGGGCCACACATGCCATCAGCCCTCTCCTGACAAAAGGCACAGCCACAGCTGATGGTGTAGTCTGGGGTATGAGCATGAGATATGTGGGTATGTCACAAATCTACTAGAGGGACAGTGCTCACACAGCTATGTGACTCGGCTTCTTTCACAGTAAGCAGAATTCTACCACAAACCCAAACGTGGGGTCTCTACGTCCCTACAAACCATGCCCGCCCAACATGCCCTGCTTGACAGATGCATGGGGAAGCATATGGCTTCCCTGTGAGGTGGGAGAGGCAGGAGCTGGCCGGAGGCTCCTGGCTCCTGTGGGACAGCAGCCGACCCGGTCCACTTGCCCAGGCCCTGGTACCTGGGTGTCGTCAGTGGACTCCACCACGGGGAACCCGTTGTGATTGGAGGCCGTGTTGCTGAGCACATCCACAATGACGCCCACTTTCTCCCTCCTCCGCAAGCAGGTGACTGGCGTGCTCATTACCTCCCTGTGGAAGAGTGCACACTTTGTCCACTGCTGGCCACATGGTCACAAGCCATGTGCCCGCAGGGATTGCTCTCTCCACATCAAAGATGAAGTTGAACAGGCACGAAGATGCTGGACACAGTAAGCCAAGGAGACAGGGACATAGGAAGCCTGAAGGCCCCAGGGACATAGGAAGCCTGAAGGCCATAGAGCCCAGGTGCTGCCCTGGGAGAACCAGTCTTGGATGGTACCTACAGCCCCGACACCCAGAGAGCATCTCAGAGATGTTCGCACACAGGCATGGGGCTTCCTTCCTGCTTCCGGCCGCCCACACCCACCCTGCCAGAGTGTCAGCACAACCCACTGCCCCCAACCTAAGTGTGGAGAGGAAGCCCCAGGCCTGCAGGCCTGCAGCCTAAGACAGGGAGAAAGATGATACCTGGCGGTGAGCGAGTGCGAGGTAACCGGGGCTTCCCAGTGCAGGAAAGGCACACTTTGCAGCTGGATGTGCATGTCGTACAGGCCCTGAGGAGGGGGCAGGCGTCATGCACAGTGCTGACACGAGGAAGGGGTTCCAGGCACACTGTGCCTACCACCAAGGCAGAAGCTGTTTGGGGGATGGCTTTGCAGGGTCACAAGAACAGGCACCCTTCCCTCCACTGCTGCTACAGGGCACGTCTCCACATTCTCAGGCTCTGAGACCAGGGCATAGGGATGGGACCCAGAGCAAGGGCTAGGGGCAGGCAGGCCTCTTCCCACCAGCTGCACCTCAATGAAGATGTCTCCTACGATCTTGGCAGTCATCAGAACCAGCATGATGGGAAAGCCGTAGGTCACGTTGCTGGTGGCCTCCATCATGATGACTGTCAGGCTCAGCGTCATCCTCACGATCCCACCTGCCCACGAAGGGAGAGGTAGGCTGGGGTACGGTAGGGGTGGTCTCAAGCCCCTATAGGCCACTCCACCCAGCCCCTCTCTTCACCCATGCCTGCCCATGTTCTCTGTGCTGGGCCCATCTCCACCCACTCAGGGTCCACTTGCACCCTGTAGAGAGTGGTCAATGACACTAAATTGAACACCCAGCCTTTGAGTTCCAATGAGGCACCTGCCCCTCCTGACTCTGGAATGCCCGTGTGGCAGACAGGACTCACCCAGCTGGGCAGCTGCTCCCATTAGGGCATACTTGCCAGGGTCTGCCCAGATCTGTGGGATGACAGAGGTGGTGTTGGGGTGGCACCCCGTACCCAAACCCACCAAGATGTACTGATACTACCAAAGGCCACCTGGACTCAGCAATTTCACATCCAGGAGAGTGTATGCACACACATGCAAAATGGTTTGCACCTTCTCAGTGATAAAAATTTAAAAAGTCTGGAAATACCCAAGGAGTGGCCCAATTCAGGGAGGCCCTGAACGCATCATGCTGTCTCAAGCTGGAGAACCCAGCAGCGTGAGCCAGGAGGATGCTCGCTGTGTACTGAGGAGGAAGCGCTACAGGCGCATGAAGGGACAGAAGCCAGCACCATGTGTGCAGTGACTGGCATCTGTGCAGAAATGCCTGCACCACACCAGGGAGTGCAAAAACGAGTGAAGATCCAACATGTGCTACAGCACAGATGAACCCTGAAAACTGCACGCTCAGTGAGAGGAGCCAGACACAGGTGGCCACATGGCATGACTCCACTCACATAAAATGAGCAGAACAGGCATGTCCACCGAGACAGAATGCAGATGGTGGCTATCAAGGGCTGGACAGGGGCATGGGAGCGAATGCTGATGGGGACAGGTTTCTTTTTGGGGTGTTAAGAATGTCCTGAACCTACACAGTAATAACGGTTACACACTCTGAACACACTAAAGAACCACTGAACTACAATTGTCTTTTTTCCTTTACTGATTTTAGAGAGAGAGAAAAGGAGAGGAAGAGAGAGAGAGAAACATCGATGAGAGAGAACATCGATTGGCTGCCTCCTCCAAGCCCCGCACTGGGAATCTGGCCTACAACCTGGGCATGTGCCCTGACCGGGAATCAAACTGGCAATCTTTTGGTGCATGGGTCGACGCTCAACCACCGAGCCACACCAGCCAGGCTGAACTATACTTTATTTATTTTCATTCTCACCCAAGGACATTTTTGCATTTGTTTTCAGATAGAGCAGGAGGGAGAGAGGGAAGGAGAGAGAGAGAAAAAAACATCGACATGAGAGAGACACATCGACTGGTTTCCACACGCACGACCCCAACTGGGGCCGCGGATGAACCGCAACCCAGGTACGTGCCCTTAGTGGGAACCAAACCGGAGACTCTCTGGTCTGCAGATGATGCTCCAACCGCTGGGCCAAACTGGCCAGGGCTCAACTATACTTTTAAAGAGTGGATTCATGGTATGTGAATCATGTTGCAATTGAAAAAATGCAAAACATTGTGCCTGGGACCTGAGGAAAGCCCATCCCAAGTCTGGTGGTGGGACAGTGCAGGAGAGACAGTCACCTGCCCTGTTTACAGTTTTAAAAAAATCTTATTTGAATAACTAAAGTTAAAAAAAGGGAACATACATAAAATTAAAACCAAGCTGTCCACGGAGACAGGTAAAAAGAGAGGCCAGGGAAGTCGAGTGGCTCAGGGCAAAGCCTATCACACACAGAGCCAGTCACCACCTTCCGCAGCCTGGGTGCCCACCCCAGGGCGTCCAATCCTTCTGTCACCTTCTCTCACTGATGACCACTGAGTATCTCTCCCCAACACTGTCTCTAGACCACACACACGGATAGCTACATTAATGGCGTGTTCCTATCGAACAGCAGCAGCTGAAAACTAAGGCTGAGTAAAATGACCAGAGGCTCTGATGCACCAACCACACTGGGAGCCCACTGCTCTTGCTCATAGTGGCCCTGAGGCTGGAGCACCCAGACTGCCCCTCTTCCCTCCAGCTCAGCTCTGTCCTGCGTGCTTGGTGCATGGAGACCCCCACTTACCGCGGCCCCAGTGACATAGGACAATGAAATGCCGAAGAGCCGACCCCAGGCGGCCCCAATAAGCAGGGATGGGATGAAGACGCCAGCAGACACTGTCAGCCCATAGGTCCAGCAAGCCAGGAAAAAGTAGACGAGGGTGAAGAGGCCGAGGGTCATAGGGTTGTAAGAGCCTAGTAGAGAGGGGCTAGTCAGGGCCTGCCATGCAGACTTGTGCCCAAGTAGGGCTACCCGCCAGCTGCCCAGTCATATCCTGATCCCCAGATACCCTGGCGAGCCCCCAGAAGGCTCCCCATTTTCAGAGGCCAGAGCATGGGGTTTTGGGGGCTGGGTGCTTGGAGGTAGGATGGTCACCCTGCCCAGGGGCAGAGGAAACCAGGGCAAGTGGGGCCCAGTGCCATCAGCAGGACAGTGACCTGAGGCCAAGAGAAGGTGTCCATTGAGGTCTGTGTGCAAACAGTTGGCACTACAGTGCAGACCACTGGGGGTCAGGGGAGAAAGAACACCAGCCACATTCCATACTAGGTAACTTCCAGACGATGGAGGATGCCAAGCAAATCCTGAACCAGCATGTTGGGAGGCCTGGTGCCAACGACTGGCTTTGCTCAATGCTTCCTAGAAAGAGCTTGGCCTTGCCCCACATTGAAATAACTTTGTTAAATTTTGTGGACTCCTGTCACATGCATAAGGACCAGAAAAGTCCTAAAAGTCTTACTTGTGACAGAGAACGCCATGGAGTAGCACAATGGAAAAAAAGCCATCCCCTCTGGCTTTTGTGCCGTGCCTGTGGGTTGTTACAGATGAGGCCAGAGGGGGCAGGGTCCCATGGGAATGTACATCTGATAGCACCAAGCACGGGCACGCACCTGGGGGGTCATGGAAAAGGCCGACCACGCTTTTCTCCGGGGTGTTAAAGAAGGCAGCAGCCATTGAGTTGTACTCGCCATCTGCACAGAAGAGCTGCAAGGTTGGGAGAGAGGATGGGCCAGTGGGGTGGGATAGTCCTGGCCAGCATCAAGTGCCAACCACATGGCAGGATGAGGTCAGGATGCTGCTGTGGAGGGGAGGCAGGCTGTGTTTCAAGGGTCCATACACACAGCCCCCACCTCTGAAATCCTCTGCAGTCAGGCTGCTGTCTGGGAGGAGGACTGGGTGGGACTTTAGCCTAACAGAACAGCAGCTTTCCTGGCACCCAACAGGCTGCCTAATCCTCTCTGAAGATACACCAGCCTGTTCAGCCGAGAGCTCTGGAATTCTGCTGTGTCAGCAGCTCTCCTGCAGGGAGTGAGGAGCGAGTGCTCCTCCTCAGAGGGCCTGCCCTGTTCCTGGCCTGGAGGGCCCAACCTCCTACCTGGAGCGGGTAGGACACGGAGCTGCCCTGCAGCGGCTGGCAGTCTCGAGAAGAGTAGATCAGCACAAAGGCGACAGTGGCTGTGACAGCAGCCACCAGCATGGCCTCAATCACCTGGAGGCAGGGCCGGTGGATGTACCTAGAGCAAACATTGGGATGGACCAGGCCTCCAGACACCTAGGCAGTTGCCATGGCAACCTGAGCCTGTGACTCACTGAGAGATGATGGAACGGCACTGATTAGGAGGGTGACATAGCATGTTTAGTCACCAATCTACCGACTCCTGCACGTCCTCAGATTATCTCCTGGATGCTTCCCAACTGCATTTAAGTTGGTGCAAAAGGAGGAGGAGGAGGAAGTGCTACTCTAAGCCCAGAACTGCGCCCCCACCAAAGCTCCAGTAATGGTAAGACAAGCCTGGCCAGCTGGCTATGCCCGTGGTCAAGATGGCCCTGGGCAGACCAGGCTGAGGCCAGAAAGGCCCTGGTCCCAGGGCTGCTGGATCCACAGGCAGTACCTCCCCTGCCAGGCCTGCCACAGCCTTACCCCATCTGTCCCCCGGCCCCATGAGGGTCGGTCCCCTTCATGCATAAACCATCGCAGAGGAATGCACACTGGCACATGGCATTCTATGTGGCCCTGTGGGCAAACAGCCCACAAGTCCATTTTCAAAAGCCCCAGAAGCCACAAAACAGGTTTCTCACCTGATTCGAAACATTGTCAGCCAGTAATTCAAGGCATTGAACACAGCCCCAAGAACACCACCTGTGAGCAGGAAAGAGCCACATGTAAGGCACAAAGAACAGCAGAGGCCGCCCAGGCGGCAGAGGGAACAGGACGGGACAGGGGAAGACGGTCCGTGAAAACACCCGTTCTCCATCACCGCACCCTGGTGGACAGAGGCGCTTATTTCCGAAAGGCTTTGCCTTCCTTTCAGGGAAAAGGTTTTCAGAGTAATGGACGCTGTCCAGGGTCCAGTCTACTTCTTAGATGGGTTTCCCAATGGAGAAGCAGACCTCTGATTTCCCTAAGGTGTGGGTTTCCTTCCTGGTTGGCCCTGGAGCATCAAGCAGGGTGTGGAGGCCACTGCCCTCTCTAGCCCTTTCAAAGAGGTGCCTGGCCTGGAGTCCTGCAGGCCCTGACCCCAACACATGCTCTGTTCCCACTGGGAGGTGCTGGCCACCATCTCAAGCAATGGAAAAGCGTGGGGCCAGGCAGGTTGGTGTCCTGCTTGGGATGGCCCTTACCCACCACTCCCATGGCGATGAAGATGGGAATCTCGTGGATCGTGTACACCATCGTCTGTGCAAAGAGGAAGAGAGGACATTCTGTGAGGGAATGTCATCAGCTTCTCGCCGCTCAACTTGGGGCCTGGATGTTATACAGAATCTGCCCGCATGCACGGGAGCCTTCCAGCACTTCCACACAGTGCTGTGGAGAGCACGCAGCAGACAGGCTGGGTGCTTTGGGCAGACTGTATGACTTCTAGCAGGAGCTGATCTGGGAGGTGCTCAGAGGCCCTGGGAGGCTTTATCGTTGTAAGGCTCACCTGCTCCTCACCTAGGCACCCATCCACCTGAGAAGGGGCACAGCCAGAGCTTTTGACAGAGGGGGAGTCAGGGGGACAGGAAGGACAGCCCTGAACACATCTTGTGACCTAGACAACCCAAGAGCTCCAACATGTCCCTGTGAGAGGACGTCCTAGGAGCAGGACGCCCTTGCTGTGTTTGGCAACTGCAGTGTGTGGTCCAGGCCTCCCAGGACAGGGCTCCTACTCACCCTCCATAAGCTGGTGCATGAGCACCCCAGGCCCACAGGTGTCAGCGTCATTGTCTGACAATCTAATGACGACTGAGACAACCCTGAAGGTGCCCTGGGTTGTCTAACGGCATCCTAAGCTACACAGCCAGGTTGGATGTGTGCTTTCCTAGAGCAACTCTGGCCCCTGGTGCTTATAAACAAGAACTCAATCTCACAGTGAAGAGATGGAGTTCCCCAAAAGGCCAAGCTCTCAGGCTGAACCTTGAGTAAACAGCCATGGCCCCACACTGAGAACCAGACAGCAAGCAGGACAATGTACCATGTTACCTGTGTGTCAAATCTTCCGAAATTGATGAGGCCTGGGCTGGACAGGTCCCAGATGTTCCCATGGTAAATGCTTAAGACAAAGTTCAGTGTGAAGGTGGAAATCATGGAAGCAAAGAACTGTGGGCAGAGAGAGAAACAAGCACCATCAGAACAACAGTGTCCAGCCAGATGAACACCCAGAGCTGGGGAGGGGGCTGTAGAAGGTGCTGCCTCTCCTGTCATTCATGAGGCACTTGAAGCCCCTCCAAAGGCTAAAGAGAAGGAGGCTGGAGCTTTGATGGCTGGGCCCCTCAGAGCTGGGCAAACCAGACAAGTGGGGCCTCAAGCCTTTTTCTGGATGAGTATGGGTCAAGCCAGAACAGAGTCGAGGAAAGGAGGTATGTGAGGTCTGGGGGTTCCCAATGAGGAGTTGGAGGAGAACCAGGGTGGTAACAGTGACCAGAACTGACAGCAAGAGGAGGTAACACCTCAGGATCAGGTGAGACACAGAGCTGGGCCATAATGACCCAAGGGGGCCATGGCTCCAACCAAGGCTCTACAGGAACCTCAGGTGAGGGCACCAAAGCATGGGCCGAGAGTATGGAGTCCACCCAACCATGGATGCCAGGAAGGTCTGATCTGGGGAGAGGCGCCGTCTGTGGGCACTTACGATTCTCCACGTCAGGAACTGATTCCAGAAGGAGGCACCTTCCTCCAAGCTGAAGAGGACACCGCCTGGAACGCAGCACCCAGCCCTGAAGTTTCCACCCAGGCACAGGGAACCCCAGGCATAGGGAACACACACTCACAGCCCCTCAAGCCCCAGACCCAGGGCACAAAGCCCACATCAGAGGCAGCCATGGGGCCTCTCGGGAGGCACCTCACATCCTCACCACCACTCAGCACTCAAGTCTGCAAATATCAAAACCATCCCTTCACGTGGCAGGGACAGCCTGGCTTTCCCAACATGGGCAGCTACTTGTCAGACCAGGCAGGGCCCCTCCTCACCCACAGGGGCCCCAAACGCAGCAGACACTCCAGCTGCAGCTCCTGCCGAGACAAAGTCCCGCTTCTCTGTATCTCTGCGGAAGTACTCAAAGATCTGAGATGGGAACAGAACAGACAGGAAGAGGGTCTTAGCCAGCTTCTCCAAGGACACTGCTCAGAAAAGTAGAAGGTTGGCTAGAGGCCACAAAGACAGGAGCCAAAGGGAGGAGGAAGAAAGAGATGGGGAGTGGGAGGAGGTGAGGGAGAGCAAGGGAGTCTCTAGACAGGCAATTCACCAACCAATGGATTCACAAAGACTGCAGAATCAAAGAGGCAACAAAATAGAGCTTCCTTGCATACCAACCACCATGAGAAAATAATGAAAAGATTCCATCACAACAAAAATTAAACTTTAGGATCTGTGCAAGAGATATACTTAAAAACTTAAAACACCTAACAAAAACTAAATAAATGAAAAAGTTAAGTGTGTTCTTGATTTTAAAAGACTCTGTTTTATAACACTGTTAACTATCTCTAAATTTGTATATAAATTCAGTTCAATACCATCAAAAAGCTGGTGGCACCCTGGTTAGTGTTGCGCAGTGGTTAGAGCGTTGGTTCGAGCACTGAAGGGTCTCAGGTTTGATTCCCGGTCAAGGACAGGTACTCGGGTCGCACCTTTGATCCCAGGCCCCAGTCGGAGCATATAAGAGGCAACCAACTGATCGATCTCTCTCTCTCTCCCCTCACCCCCTTCCTTCCACTCTAAATTTTTTTTTCTTTTATTGATTTTAGAGAGAGAGAAAAAGGAGAGGGAGACAGAGATAGAAACACTGATGAGAGAGAACATCGATTGGCTGCCTCCTGCATGCACCCCAGTGGGAACTGGGCCCACAACCTGGGCATGTGCTCTGACCAGGAATCAAACTGGCGACCTCTTGGTGCATGGGTCGACGCTCAACCACTGAGCCACACTGGCTGGGCCCTTCCACTCTCTCTAAAAGAGCCCTGGCCGGTTTGGCGCACAGCGGTCAGAGTGTTAGCCTGTGGTCCGAAGAGACCCGGATTCGGTTCCCACTAAGGGCATGTACCTCGGTTGCAGTTTGTCCCCGGCCCTGGATGGATCCTGCAGGTGGCAACCACTCGATGTGTCCCTTACACGTCGGTTTATCTCTTTCTGTCCCTCCCACTCTGTCTGAACAAAAAATGGAAAAGTGTCCTCGGGTGAAGATAAAAAAAAAGAAGAAGCCCTGGCCGGTTTGGCTCAGCGGTTAGAGCATTGGCCTGCGTTCTGGAGAGACCTGGGTTCGGTTCCCGCTAAGGGCACGTACCTCGGTTGCAGTTTGTCCCCGGCCCTGGTTGGTTGTGCGGGTGGCGACCACTCGATGCGTCCCTTTCACATCAATGTTTCTCTCTCTCTCTGTTCCTCTCTCGGGTGAGGATGAAAAAAAAAAAAAAAAAAAAGAATATTCTCAGGTTGACCTAGCCGGTTTTGCTCAGTGGGGTTAGAGCATCGTCCCGTGGACCAATGAATTGTGGGTTTGGTTCCAGTCAAGGGCACGTATCTCGGTTGTGGTTTGTCCCTGGCCCTGCAGAAGGCAACCAGTTGATGTGTTCCTCTCACATTGATGTTTCTCTCTCTCTCCCACTCTATCTAAAGATAAACAGAAAAATATCCTCAGGTGAGAATTAAAAAAAAAAAGATTCTCAGGTAAAGATGAACAAAACAAAAAAAGCTGGTGGCGTTTTGGGAAAACATAACAAAATTATTCTGAAGCGGATCTTGAAGATTAAACTTTTTTTTTTTTTTTTTATCCTCACCCGAGGACATTTTTTCTATTTTTTGTTCAGATAGAGTGTGGGAGGGAGAGAGAGAGAGAGAGAAACATCGATGTGAAAGGGACACGTCGAGCGGTCGCCACCCACACAACCCAACCAGGGCCGGGGACAAACTGCAACCGAGGTACGTGCCCTTAGCGGGAACCGAACCCGGGTCTCTCAGGACCGCAGGCCGACGCTCTAACCGCTGAGCCAAACCGGCCAGGGCAAGATTAAGCATCTTTAATCTGTAAGCATGTCATTCCTGACTTCTTTCTAAGGCATACAGCCCTTTGAGAAGACCACGTCTGCAGGAAAATGCACCTCCACCACACAAATCACTGAGAACCAGGCTCTGAGCAGACTCTCTGGGCAGGCCCCAGGAGCACCACCCAGGACAGAACACTGTGGAGACCCTCAGATTCGATGTCAAGGATGGTCTTGGCAGAGCAGACCTGCACGGAGCAGGAGGGACCCTGCTTTCTGGGGACATTCATGGTTCCCCTTATTGTTGACATCTGCATCAGGAGAGGACTCACCTTGAAATCTCGCTTCAGCGATGTGGACCTCCCCTGGGAAACCCCAGCGGCAATCACGGAGCCTGAGTGAATCATTGGCCCCTCCTGGAAAGCACAGGACAGCCCCCATCAGGTGGGTTCGGAGAACATGGAGTGTAGAGGGAATCAGGCCAAAGCATCACTCCTCGAGCTCCATTACCTTTCCCACGGCCAGTCCTCCCACCACAGACAGGATCACACCAGATACTTTGATCACCAGGGTCTGGAACATAAAGGAAAATGTGTCAAGTCTCTGACTAAAGGTCACACACAGTCTGAGAACCTGTGCCACAGTACTGCACACAAAGCGATACTAACAACTCAACAACCCAGCACCCACGAGCAACAAAAAGGGCATTCAGAGGGGACAGTACAACCCTCCCCTTGAGGTCGCTCTGCTCCCCCAGTGTGTCCACCACCTGCCAGGTTCCTGGGCTGCAGGAACCCCTGGCCCCCAGGAACATCTGCTCCCCAGAGTAGGACGGAAGAAAAGCATCGGCAAATCGAGGCTAAAGCACGCAGACCAAAACACTGGCAATGGCCACAGGAGGAAGCCCCCACAGAACAAGGATGTCATCAAGAATATTAAGACGACGTCTGAGGAATAGAAAAAGCTCACAGCAAGTCTCCACTCCAACACAGGCCCTCTCATCCTGAAATGTAACCACACAACTTCGATCACAGCACACACACCATTTAAGCATTTTTCTGTTTAGAATGTGCAGAGAAAGTTTTTAGCACTTTTTAAAGAAAGTTTACAAGAAACCTGCCAGCACATCCATACACATGCTCATCAGCAGCACACAAAATGGGTCTGGGTGGATTTTGGAGGTGCAGGTGCACAAACAAAAGGCTTCTAAACCAGCAAAGAATCCCCATGATGAGCACCATGCTCCCAGCCAAGGGTTCACTTCCTCACCTTGAGCCGGACCACATGGGGGATCTTCACACCATTGAGGAAGCACTTGATCTGGGGGATCCCACTCCCAGCAGCAACTGGCTAGAAGGAGAGAAAAAGGAACATGGAGCCGGCCAAGCTGAATGAACTGGCGTGGCTGGTAGGCCTAGGGAGACTCAGCCTCGTGGTACTCAGGATAGGGGGAGGGGATGACATGGGACTGAACAGGACAGCTGCTTGTGGAAGGGGCTTCCCACTTCTCCCCACCCCAGATGCAAATGCTGTGGGATGTGGGAGGGGTTGGCAGTGGAAGTGGGAGGAGGTGCAGTGGCCCCTAAGGGGCCAGGGGGCAGAGTGGGGATGCTCTAGGACAGATGGGAGGCACATATCATACACTAGCTGAGAGGAACCAGAGTTCCTTGATCCCCTCTGGGGGGGCAATGCACTGCACCCTAGATAGATGCTTCCCCTTCTTCCTTGCAACACCTCATGACAAGGAAATAGTAAAGAAAGAGGCAGGCCACAGGAAGAGCTTCTGGAAGAAGTCCTATAACGAAGGGTTTGATCCTCACATGTGGGCGGTCCCCTCCACCTGGATCCCTGGGTTGGGTCAGCCCTGCACACCCTGGGGACCCCCTAGATGTGAGCTGTGCGCTCCTCACATGGTCTTTGTTGTAAGGGGTGGGCATGGGGCAGGCTTGGGCTGTGTGGCCAGGAGGGAGGCAGCACCACCAGGGTGGGGGATGAAAAGGCCAAGATACACTTTCTGTTCTTACTGAACCGTTTAACATCTGCACCAGTGTGACCGCGGGAACCTCACTGGCAGAAGCTGCAGTAGGTGAGCTGCAGGAGTTCTCACCATTCAGAGCTCCCTGTGGCCGTACCTCTATGAAGGCAACAATCATGGAGCCGACCAGCACGAATGCAGAGTTCAACGTGGCCCACAGCAGGAGGGAGAAGGACAGACCCCCTTTCTCCGTGAACTTGTCAATGTCTGGACTCATCAAGGACAACTATTAGCTCCATCATCTGATATGCCACATCCCCAGGCTGCCATACCCCTGGTACAAGCATGACCCCCAAACACTCAGGGGAGGGTGTCAGGAGGTCATGTGCTAACTGCACATCCCAGAGACCTTCCAAAGCCCAGCAAGAGATGCTACCCACCAGTCCCACCTCTCCCAGCTGGAGGGCAAACACCCAGGCCCAGAGATGTCTCCTGCTGGGCCTGCTCTGGGATGCACAGCCATTTGTGGGACACTATGCTCTGCTCTAAGCTCCACCGTCTGTGCTGGGCACCTTCAGAAAAGGATACTGTCCTTGACGACCTTGTATTTTAGGCCAGCCAAGTTTTCCACCATGATGTCAATGAAGCAGGCCACGAGCCCTGTGAGGATCCCTATCATGGCACAAATGACCCAGCGCTTGATCTCCACTGTCCGGAAGGCCTGGGGGGAAGGCACCAGTCAGAGGCAGGTGCAGTGGCAAGACATTAGCCAAAGTCTGCTCTGGTGATGACATGACTGGCCCTGGAATTCCTCGGGCTGCCACCATGCGCAGTGTGCTTCATTCCACATCCCCAAGTCCATGATGGCAGCCTCTGGTCACTGTCTCAGAGACGATGGGGCATTGGGGTGTGTGTGTGTCTGTGTGTAGACCTTGCCAACCAATCCATAATCAGCTGTTGACATTCTGGCCACTGCAGCTGACATCTCTAAGAATAGCCTTCTTTGTTGCATTCGAGACGTGACACACACACACTTTCCTGTATCAGGTACTGGGTGTCTCTTACTCCAGGACAAAAACCAGAACCTGAGGCACAAGGACTAAGGACAGAGGGATATGGAGGGGACACATCAACCACACCCAGGTGGGAGAGCAGCACCAGACCAGCCCTTGGTTCAGCAGGGTGGTGTCTGGGCTGCCTGGCCCCAGACTCACCATGTGGTTGATGCGTCTCTCCTCCTCCAGGAACAGCTGGTTCTCACTGTTGTCGTAGTCCAAGCTCTGTAGACCAGGGTGGCACAGATAACATAATGACCGACCTTGATGTTCCAGGTTCATGTTGGGCAGCCGGTGGGGGTGAGGCTGGAAAGGGGATGAAGTGCCTGGGGCTGGATGGGGCAGGGGCACCCAGGGAGGAGGCCCACCTCATACTTGAGGGACAGGAGCTTCTCGTTGTGTGGGATCTCCTTGGGAAAAGGGTGAGGGGGATCCATCACCTGCAAAGGAAGAAGCAGAGCCACACACTGACTTTGTTCTCTAGCACGCTGGAGAGCAAAGCACAAATGAGGAGAGGACACAGAACGAGTCTACTCATCTCATGAGGCCACTACTCTACTGACCCCAAAGCTAGACAGGGATTCTATTTGAAAGGAAACTCACTACCAGTGCACACCCTTTGTGAACAGAGACACAAAGTTCTCAACAAGATGTCAGAGGATTGGATTCTGTAACACACAGGAATGCAAGTGTTTTAACATCTGAAAATCAATTACTGAAACATGTCTGTGGTACAATGGAGAATATATTATTGGTCTTTGTACCAATTCCTAGTACCCGGCTCCTAAAATCCTGGGCATCTCTGGGTAGTATCTTTTGTAAGCTAATAAGATGAGGGGGGAATGGGGGTTGGTTACCAGAGAGACCAAGGTGTGATTAGAGGGCAGGAACTTTCAGTCCTGACATTCCAACATCCATAGAGGGAGGGACTGGAGACTGAGCTAATCACCAATGACTAATGACTAATGACTTAGCCTGTGTAATGGAACCTCCATAAAAACCCTAAATGAAGGGGTTTGGAGACCTGGATTGGTGAACATATGAGGTGCTTACACCAGCACTACAAGAAATGTGAAAAGGACTGCTGTACTTAGAAGAAACAGGAAGAAAAATAGAACCACAATAACCAAAAATGGCAATAAATAAGTACATTATCAATAATAACCTTAAATGTAAATGGTCTGAATGCTCAGATCAAGACACAGGGTAGCTGATTGGATAAGAAAGCATGACTCATATACATGTTGTTTGCAAGAGACCCACTTCATAACAAAAGACTTACATAGGTTGAAAGTGAAGGGATGGGAAAAAAATCTTCTAATGAAAAGGAAAAAAAGCTGGGGTAACAATACTCATATCTGATAACACAGACTTCAAAATGAAGGTTGTAACTAGAGACAAAAAAGGATATATTTTTTGAAAGGATCTATTCAACAGGATAAATATAACCTTGGTAAACATATATGCACCCAATATAGGAGCACCAAAATATATTTTAAAACTTCTGGAGGACATCAAAGGAGAAATCAACAGCAATACAATCAGAGCAGGGAACTTCAACACCCCGCTGACAGCACTGGATAGATCCTCTAGACAAAAAATTAACAAGAAAACAGAGACTCTAAATGATGCACTAGATCTAATGGATTTAATAGATATCTACAGAGAATTACACCCCAAAATGGCAGAATTCACATTCTTCTCAAGTGCACATGGGACATCCTCAAAGATAGACCACATGTTAAGACACAAACTAAGCCTCTACAAGTTCAAGAAGATTGAAACCATATCAAGTATCTTCTCAGATCACAATGGAATGAAACTAGAAACCAATTACAGCAAAAACATGCAAAGACATTTAAACACATGGAGGCTAAACAGCAAATTCTTAAACAATGAATGGGTTACCAAGGAGATCAAGTAAGAAATTAAAACCTTCCTGGAAACCAATGAAAATGAACACACAACAACACAAAATCTATGGGACGCAGCGAAAGCAGCCCTGAGAGGGAAGTTCATAGCACTACAGGCCTACCTCAAGAAACAAAAATATTTCTAATAGACTATCTAACCTCACAACGTAAAGAACTAGAATGCAAACGAAAAAAAAAAAACCCAGGGCACGTAGAAGGAAAGAAATAGTAAAGATCAGAGCAAAAATAAATGACATAGAGGCTAAAAAAAAATTCAAAAGATTAATGAAACAAAGAGCTGGTTCTTTGAAAAGATAAACAAGATTGATGGACCCTTAGCTAGACTCACCAAGAAAGAAAGAGAGAGAACCCAAAAAAACAAAATCAGAAATGAAAGAGCAGTAACAACTGACACCACAGAAATACAAAGGATAAGCAAAATGGACAAATTTCTAGAAACACACAGTCTCCCGAAACTGAACCAGGAAGAGATAGAAAACTTGAACAGACCAATAACAACTAAATTGAAGATGTAATCAAGACTCCCCCAGCAAACAAAAGCCTGGGCCCAGACAGCTTCACAGAGGAGTTTTACCAAATGTTCAAAGAAGAACTAACACCCATTCTCCTCAAACTATTCCAAAAAATTCAAGAAGGAAGACTTACAAACTTGTTTTATGAGGCCAGCATTATTCTAATTCCAAAACCAGATAAAGACACTACAAAGAGCGCTGGCCGGTTTGGTTCAGCGGTTAGAGCGTCGGCCTGCGGTCCAGAGAGACCGGGGTTCGGTTCCCGCTAAGGGCACGTACCTCTGTTGCGGTTTGTCCCCAGCCCTGGTTGGTCGGGGGAGTGGCAGCCACTCGATGTATCCCTTTCACATCAAAGTTTCTCTCTCTCTCTCTCTTCCTCTTTCTCCCTCCCACTCTGTCTGAACAAAAAATGGAAAAATGTCCTCGGGTGAGGATTAAAAAAAAAAAAAGACACTACAAAGAAAGAAAACTACAGGTCAATATCCCTGATGAACATAGATGCCAAAACCCTTAACAAAATATTAGCAAATCGGATCCAGCAATACAGTTAACAAAATTATTCACCATGACCAAGTGGGATTCATCCTAGGGATGCAAGGCTGGTACAATATTCGCAAATGAATAAATGTGATACACCACAAAGTGAAAGAAAAAAACCACATGATCATATCAACAGATGCTGAAAAAGCATTCGACAAAATCCAGCATCCATTTCTGATAAAAACACTCAGCAATGTGGGAATAGAGGGATCATATCTCGATATAATAAAGGCTATATATGAAAAACCTACAGCCAACATCATACTCAATGGGCAAAAACTAAAAGCTTTTCCCTTAAGAATAGGAACAAGCCAAGGATGCCCACTTTCGCCACTCTTATTAAACACAGGACTGGAAGTCTTAGCCATAGCAATTAGACATGAAGAAAAAATAAAACGGCCCTGGCTGGTATTGCTCAGCAGTTAGAGCATCAGCCTGCGGACCAGAGAGTCCCAGGTTTGGTTCCTGCTAAGGGCACGTACCTTGGTTGCGGTTTATCCCCAGCCCCAGTTGGGGTTGTGTGGGTGGTAGCCAGTCAATGTATTTCTCTCTCTCTCTTCCCCCTTCTCTCCCTCCTGGTCTATCTGAATATAAATGCAAAAATGTCCTCGGGTGAGGACAAAAATAAATAAGTAAATAAAACATAAAAATAAATAAAAAGATAAACTATCTCCTTTAAAAAAAGAAAAGAAAAAAAAAGGGGGGGGGATCCAAATTGGAAAGGAGGAAATGAAACTGTCATTATTTGCAGATGACATGATATTGTACATAGATAACCCTAGAGACTCCATAAAAATCTACGAGTTTAATAAACAAATTTGGCAAAGTAGTAGGATACAAAATTAACATCAAAAAAATCGACAGCATTCTTATACACCAATAATGAACTCACAGAAAGAGAAACTAAAACACAGTCCCATTAACCATTGCGGCAAAAAAATTAAGATACTTAGAAATAAACCTAACCAAACAAGTAAAGTACCTATTTGCAGAAAATTATAGGACATTGAAAAAGAAATAGAGGAAGATATGCCCTGGCCGGTTTGGCTCAGCAGTTAGAGCGCTAGTCCGCAGACCAGAGAGTCTTGGGTTCGGTTCTCACTAAGGGCGCGTGCCTTGGTTTCAGTTTGTCCCCGGCCCTGGTTGGGGTCATGTGGGTGGCAGCCAGTCGATGTATCTCTTTCATATCGATGTTTTTTTTTTTCTCTCTCTCTCTTCCCCACTCTCTCCCTACTGCTCTATCTGAAGATAAATGCAAAAATGTCCTTGGGTGAGGATAAAAAAATAATAATAATAAAAATTTAAAAATTAAAAAGAAATAGAGGAAGGTATAAAAAAGTAGAAGTGTATACCCTGTTCATGGACTGGAAGAATTAACATCATTAAAATATCCATACTACCCAAAGCAATCTATAGATTCAATGTAATCCTCATTAAAATACCAATGACAGACCTGGCTGATTTGGCTCAGCGGTTAGAGCGTCGACTTGCGGTCCAGAGAGACCCGGGTTCGGTTCCCACTAAGGGCACGTACCTTGGTTGCAGTTTGTCCCCGGCCCTGGTTGGGTCGTGCGGGAGGCAGTCACTCAATGTGTCCCTTTCACGTTGATGTTTCTCTCTCTCTCTTTCTCTCTCTCTCTCCCCCCGCCCCTCTCCCTCCCACTCTGTCTGAACAAAAAATGCAAAAATGTCCTCAGATGAGGATTAAAAAAAACCACACAAAAAAAGAATGACATATTTCATAGAACTATAACAAATACTTCAAAAGTTTATATGAAATCAAAAAAGACTCCAAATAGCCACAGCAATCTTGAAAAAGAAGGACAAAGTAGGAGGGATCACAATACTGGATATCAGGTTATACTACAAAGCCACTGTAATCAAAACAGCCTGGGCCCTGGCCTGTTTGGCTCAGAGGTTAGAGTGTCGGCCCGTGGACCAGAGAGTCCTGGGTTCAGTTCCCGCTAAGGGCACATACCTCGGTTGCAGTTTGCCCCAAGCCTGGTTGGGGTTGTTTGGGTGGCAACCACTTGATGTTTCTGTCTCACACTGATGTTTCTCTCTCTCTCTTCCTCCCTATGTATCTGAAGATAAATGCAAAAATGTCCTGAGGTAAGGATTTAAAAAAAAACAACAGCCTGGTACTGGCACAAGAACAGGCACATAGATCAATGGAACAGAACAGAGAACCCAGAAATTGACCCAAGACATTAAGCTCAACTGATATTTGACAAAAGTGCCAAGAGTATACAATGGAGTACAGACAGCCTCTTCAATAAATGGTGTTGGGAAAATTGGACAACTACATGAAAAAAAATGAAACTAGACCACCAACTTATTCTACACTAGAATAAACTCAAAATGGATAAAAGACTTATAGGTGACTTGTGAATCCATAAAAATCCTAGAAGAAACTGCTGGCAACAAAATTGCAGACATTGCACGCAGCAGAATTTTCACTGATACAACGCCTAAGGCAAGGCATACAAAGGAAAATATTAATACATGGAACTACATCAAACTCAAAAGCTTCTGCACAGCAAAAGAAACAACCATCAAAATGGAAAGGCAACCCACTATATGGGATAGCATAATTGCCAATGAAATATTAGACAAGGGGTTAATTTCAAAAATATATAGAGTACTCATACAACTCAACAAAAGGAAGACAAAGAACCTAATTTAAAAATGTACAGAGGAACTAAATAGACACCTCTCCAAACAGGACATACAAATGGTCAATAGACATATGAAAAAAATGCTCAATGTCACTAATCATCAGAGAGATGCAAATTAAAACGACTTGAGGTATCATCTCACACCTGCCAGAATGGCCACCATCAACAAATCATCAAACAACAAGTGCTGGCGAGTGTGTGGAGAAAAGGGTACCCTAGGACATTGCTGGTGGGAATGCAGACTGGTGCAGCCACTATAGAAAACATATGGTGTTTCCTCAAAAAATTAAAAATTGATCTGCCAGTTATCCCACTTCTAGGAATATATCCTAAGAAGCCTGAAACACCAATCAGAAAGAATATACTTAACCCTATGTTCCTAGCAGCACTATTTACAATCGCTAAGATCTGGAAACAGCCCAAGTGTCCATCAATAAATGAGTGGATAAAAAAGCTGTGGTACATATACACAATGGAATACTATACAGCTGTAAGAAAGAGAGATCTCTTCTCCTTTGAGATGACATAGAGGGACCTGGAGAGCATTACGCTGAGCAAAATAAGCTAATGAGAGAAAGACAAATAACACATGATCTCACTTATTTGTGGAATATAATGAACAAAATAAGCTGATGAACAAAATAGACCCAGAAACATAGAAAGGAGTAAGGTTCAGACTGACAAACCTCAGAGGAGGGGGATGGGGGGGTTAGATCAACCAAAGAACTTACATGCATATATGCATAACCAATGGACATAGACAACAATGCTGGCAGGTGGGGACGGGGACTGGTAGGAGGGTGTCTAGAGGGGGAAAAGGAGAAACATCTGTAACAAAAATAATTTAATAAAAACTGTAACAAGAAAACAACAACAACAGTAAAAACACAAAACATATGAGGTGCTGTGGGGGTGGCACTCCCAGAGAGGGCATGGAAGCTCCACACCCTCCCCACACCTCCCCTGTGCATCTATTGACTGCTGTTCCAGTGTCGTATCCTTTAGAATAAATCAGTAAACATAAGTAAAGTATTTCCCTGAGTTCTGTGAGCCCTTTTAGCAAATTATGGACATGAAGAGGGGGTCGTGGGTTTGATTCTCCATCAAATACATACCTGGGCCCTGGCCGGTTGCTCAGTGGTTAGAGCATCGGCCTATGGTCCAGAGAGAGCCAAGTTCGGCTCCCACTAAGGGCACGTACCTCGGTTGCGGTTTGTCCCTGGCCCTGGTTGGGTTGCGCAGGTGGCAGCCACTTGATGTGTACCTTTCACGTCGATGTTTCTCTCTCTCTCTCTCCCTCCTACTCTGTCTGAACAAAAAATGGAAAAATGTCTTCGGGTAAGGATAAAAAAAAAAAATACATACTTGGGTTGCAGGCAATCAGTTGATGTCTCTCTTTCACATGAATGTGCGTGTTTCCAACCCTCCCCCCCCTAAAAATTAATGAAAAATATATCTTTGGGTGAGGATTAACAAAAAGCAAAATGGAAAAAAGAGAAACAATTGTATTTACAACAGCATGAAATATAAGATATATAAAATAAAACTTATTCCTAAAATACATTTAACAAAAGTGTAAGATTTGTATGCTGAAAACTGCAAAACATTGTTGAAAGGAAGGAACTAAAGACTTAAATAAATGGAAAGATATCCTGTGTTCATCAGAAGACTTAATACTACGATTCAACACAATCCCTGTCTAAATTCCAGCTGGCATCATTGAAGAAATTGACAAGCTGATCCTAAAATAAATATGGAAACGCAAGGGATCTCAAAGAGCCAGAACATCCTGGAAAAAGAGCAAAGTTGGAGGACTCAAACTTCCTGACTTCAAAGCTATAGGTATCAAGACAATGATGCTGGCTTACGGACAGACAGAGATCAATGACAGACGATCGAGAATTGGAAATAAACTTGATTTTCAACAAAAGTGCCAAGACAATTCAATAGAGAAAGCACAGTCACTTCATGAAATGGTGATGGGAAAGCTGGACATCCAAATGCAAGACTATGAACTTGAACCCTTATCTTTCACCACACACACAAATCAATGAAAAGCGGATCAAGACCTAAAACTATAGAACTCTTAGAAGAAAACACAGGAGTAAATCTTTATGACTTTAGACTAGGCAATGATTTCTTAGATATGACAACAAAAGCACAACAAAAGAAAACAGACAAACCATGGGCATAGGATCTAAATAGACATTTATCCAAAGAAGACATACAAATGACCACTGATTGGCACATGAAAGATGCTCAATATCACTGGCCGTCAGGGAAATGAAACTCAGAACCATGAGACACTCAAGGAGGAAGCCAAATGCAAGTCTAGGGAGAACTTTTCAGGATATGTTCCCCTGGAAGCTTCTGGACAGTCCAGCTCTGCATAACACTGCTATCCAGAGACACCCACCCTGAGATGCTCACCCTGCCCCCAAGGCCCTCCGCCAGCCTATCTAGGGTCCCTCTCTCACCTACAGCACCCACCCCCCGGCCTACTTTCTGCGCCTACACACAGCATATTCAATCAGCATTCAACACCTGTCACGCACTTCCCCATCTCTGTTCATCTGGCTTGGCCTCAGGGAACATGGCCCCTCAGAATGGCCTTCCCTGGTCACCTAGGCTTGGGGCCTCACTGTCTGTTCCTCAATGTCTCTGAGCTCTGCATAGCCCATGTCTATCTCCAAGCTCTGTAAAGCCTTGTCCATGTCTGTCTCTGAGCTCTGCATAGAACTGCCCACAACTGTCCCGAGCCATGCTCAAAACTGCCCACATGTGTCCCTGAGCTCTGCACAGAATGGCCCATGTCTCTCCCAGAGCCCCGCACAGCCCTCCCTACATCTGCCATCCTCTGGTTTGGCGTTTACTGTCTGCCCTCAGCGAGGCTACAATTCCACAGAGCAGGCATCGTCCTTCCTGGGGATAAATGGGAATGACTTCTACTCACTGGGTCCAGAAGCTCATCGTCCGACTCCGTGTTGTTCATTTGTCCAATTTGGAAAGATGCCGAATGGGGCGACTGGAAATAGAAGAAAAATGACAGGGCACTTAACCACAGGGCCAAGCTGCACTGAGCATCACCACCCCACTAGGATAGCCTGGCCTCATCTGGTCCTGCCTAGGGAACACAGGCCCACACCTGCTGGGCTAGTGCTAGTGCTGGGCTAGTGCTAGACCCAGGCCTGTCCTCACCACCCACAGCCTGTCCTTAAGAAGTCCAGCCTTGGAATGGGAAGCCCAGGCCTTCCCTATCCCAGAACCCCTGCTTTCTCTTGTTCTAGAAGCTTCAGAGATTAGAAACCTACTAGTCATCAGAACCCAGGGCTGCAGGAAACCATGCTGGTGTCCTCCTGATCCCCCTCTCCTGGAGCCCCCCTCCCATTAGAGAGTATGTCCCCAATCATGAGTCAAAGTGGTTCTGCCACAGGCCTCCAGGCTAGCTCTCCAGACACATGGTCTGAGGTACCGCCTCCTGAGGCAGGAGTACCCTCAGACCCCAGAACCCTCCCACTCTGAAGTGGGGCCACACTCCAGACCCAGGGGGCTGATCAACCACAGAGGATAGAAAACCAGGAGTGTGACTTCTCTTATGCCCACTGGCGGGGCATGGCAGAGGCCTGGACTAGAAAACAAAACACAGGCATCAGTTACATTTTCATTTCAAAGAAACAAAAAATCATGTGTTAGTGTGTGTTCCAAATATTGCAGGGGACATACTTGACCTCAAATATGATTCTTTGTTTCTCTGCAGTGCAAATGCAGCTGGATGCCCTGCATTTCATCTGACAGCCCTATACAAAGACGAAAAACAAGCAGCCATGACAGTAACAAATTCTGCTCCACACTCAACAATGGACCTCAGGGGTGTCCAGCCAAAGAGCGCACTGTGGCTCCACTATAGAAAGTTTACAATCAGGTGACAACAACCTGTTTTAAAGGAGCTAGTCATAGGGGGATAGGAAAAGTGAGGGCATGCAGGGGCTCAGAGGACATTGGTTGATTAGAAGTTGTCTGAATCCTCGCACTGCTATAAACAATTATAATAGACTGGGGGGCTTAAATCAAGAAAAATGTATTCTTTCCAGCTCTGGAGACAAGAAGTCCAAAACCAAGATGTCAGCAGGCAGCACTCCCTCTCAAGGGTCATGAGGAGTCTCCTTTCTTCCTCCTCTAGATTCTGATGGCTGCTGGCAATCCTTAGCATTCCTTGGCATCTGGCTGCATCACTCTAATCTCTGCTTCCGTAGTCACATGGCCTCCTCTTGTATGTGTTTGCCTAAATTTCCATCTCCTTATGAGGACAACTGTCACTGGTGTCAGACTATGCCAGTCTGACCTCATCTTAATTTGATCACGTTTGTGAAGACTACCTATTTCCATGTGAGGTCCCATGCACAGGTTCCAGGGATCAGGAATGGACAGATATTTTGGGAGGTAACACATGAGATGCATGTTCACTTGAACATCATGCACCCCTTGCACAACTACACTTCTCTATGTGCGTACAGTAAACACCAGTAGAACAAACAGGTGATTAATGAGAGAAACATAGCTGTTTTCTCTTCTAAATTGACAATGCCCCCAAACTTTTGAATCTGATGAGACAGACTGTGCTGGCCCAGGAAGGGATCCCAGTTAACAGTGAACTCTAACCAAGAGATGGCCCAGCATTGGCTGCAGTCCCCACTCCCAAAAAGGACACATGTAACCTGGAAGCATACAGCAGCTGCAAGCCCAACCACAGCAACATTGAATACACTTCCTTGGGAACATGTCCACACATGCAGACCAGCCAAGCAGAAGGGGCACAAAGATGAACAAACCCAGCTGAGCAATGCCCAGGCAGCACTGAGTCAGACTGTGAAAGGAAAACCAGAAAACCTATACAGTCATCCACTGGCAGATGAAGCCCACAGAAAAAAGCAGTCTGGCCACTTTTATCTTATCATAAAAGCAGCTCAATTACATCAGGTAGTCATTCCCACCACACCAAGGCAGCCCAGAGTTGAGCCCCACAAAGCATTTCCTTTGACATCTAAACAGTTTCTGGGGCCAGGCTGTGACCATGCACATGGCCTAGTGAGGGAGGGGGCAGGACTCGCTCATTCAGGTGACAAAAGGTCCCCAGTACCCAGCCTGCCTTGAGGATGCCAGATGAGCACAGGGGTCAGAATCCTGAGAAAAGCATGTGGACCCGGGAGGTGAAGGCTGATAGGTGGGAGGAGCTAAGCCCTGCAGCTGTCTTGGGCTGGGCTCTCTCCCTTCTCCACACCTTCATGTTTTCATCATCTCTTTTCTGAACTTTATGGGCATCTTTTAGGAACTATCTTTTGTGACGAAAAAGGCATTTACTTGAAGTTCAGTAATTTACTAAGTTCCTTTCTCTTTCCTGAAACACAAGTTAAATTAAATACTTGTTCTTCAAACTACTGATATGCATAATAGCCTGGTTGAAACCTTCCAGGGCAAGATGCTGACCCCAAAGATTTATGTACTGTGCAGTTTCACTGACCTGACACTCTCGAAATGTCAGGCCTGGCACAATGAGAACAGATCAGTGGGGGAGGGAGGTGACCGGAAGAGTAGGACAAGGGGCTCTTCATGGTAACGGGTGTGCTCCGTATCTTGACTGCAGTGGCGCTCACCGGATCTACACATGTGACATGATAGCAGAGAACCACACACCCGCACTGTGCCAATGTCAACCCTGGTTTCTGCACTGCATGACTGCTACGCAAGATGGAACCACTGGAAGAAACTGGGGGAAGGTATACAGGCCCTCTCTGCACTGTCTTTCAACTTCCAGTAAATCCATAATTATTTAAAAAAAAATTTTTTTTTATCCTCACCCAACAACATTTTTCCATTTTTTGTTCAGATAGAGTGGGAGGGAGAGAGAGGAAGAGAGAGAGAAACATCGGTGTGAAAGGGACACATCGAGTGGCTGCCACCCACACAACCAACCAGGGCCAGGGACAAACTGCAATCGAGGTACATTAGCAGGAACCGAACCTGGGTACTTCTGGACCGCAGGCTGATGCTCTAACCACTGAGCCAAACCGGCCAGGGCAAAATTTTAAATTTTATGTAAGAATGGGACATCAACCTGAAAAACGTCTGTGCACCAAAGGAAACAACTGACAAAGTAAAAAGGCAACCTATAAAATGGAGTATTTATAAATCATAAATTTGATAAGGGTTAACATTCAGAATATACAAAGAACTTGTACAACTCAATAACAACAACAAAAACCTAACCTGATTAGAAAAATGGAAAAAGGATTTGAATAAACATTTCTCCAAAGAAAACATACAAATGGCCAATAAGCACACAAAAATGTGCTCAACATCACTAATCACTAGGGAAAGGTAAATCAAAACTACAATGATTCCACCTCAAACCTGTGAGGGTGGCCAGAATAAATAAATTAATAAATGAAAAAAAGAAAACAAACACAGAATAACAAGTGTTGGTGAGGATGTGGAGACATTGGAACCTGGTGCACTGTGGGTGCGAATGCAAAATGGTGCAGGCTCTATGGAAAACAGTATGGAAGTTCCTCAAAAAGTTAAAAATAAAACTATCATATGATCCAGCAATTCCACCTCTGTATACATATCCAAAAGAATGGAAAGCAGGATCTCAAAGAGATTATCTGTACACTCATACTCATAGCAGCATTATTCATAATAACCAAAATGTAGAAGCAACTCAAATGTCCATTGATGATGAATGGATAAACCAGATGTGGTATATACATAAAATAGAATATTATTCAGCCTTAAAAAGGAAGAAAATCCTGCAATATGCTACAACATGGATGAACCTTGATGACATTATAGGAGAAAGTAGCCAGCCATAAAAAAATACTGTATGATTCCACTTATTCCCTGGAATAGTCAAATTCAAAGACATAAAGAAGAATGGTGGTTGCCAGGGGCAGGGGGAAGAGAAAGTTAGTGTTTAATGGGTCTAGTTTCAGTTTTGCAAGATAAGAGTTCTGCAGATGGATGATGGTGATGGTTGTGCAACACTGTGAATGTACTTAACACCACTGAACTGTGCACTTACAAATGGTTAAGATGATGAATTGTTATGTTTTTACTACAATTAAAACAAAATTTAAAATAACTTAAAGGTTGTTTGCTGTCCCATTCTGCTGCTCTGCATTCTAAGATTCTCCAGGCTCCATGCTCAGCACTGAGGACACAAGGCTGCTACAGCCAGGGGCTCACAGTCAAAACACGTTTCCCATAAACAAACAAGTGTAAATGATGAGACTTGAGCTCAATGGGTGAGAGAGGAGGAGACACTTAGGCTGAAACTTAAAGGAAGAAAAGGAGCAAGCCGTGCAGAGGAGGGGCAGATGGAGTGGGAACGGCCCCACTGCTACCACCTCTGAATACTGTGGCCTCTGTGGAGGGGACATGGGGTGCCTCCCAAGATCCTCTGGCTAGGCCTGGGGCCACTCTTGTCCCTTAGATCTCTGCACTGTCAGGCGGTATACCTCTCCAGATTGTGGTCTTCCTGAGGGCCCTTGGGGAGGGAGCAGGGTGGCCGGCCTGGAGGTCAGTGGATAAAGAAGAAAGAGGACAGGCCAAGGGCACTGAGGCAAAGGACTTCCTGGAGGGGATCCTTTGGTGGTAGGAACCACCTAGAGAAAGACAGGAGCTCACTTATGACAAGCAGAACTCAAAGGGGCTGGACCACAAATGAGAGGTCTACAGCTTCCCTGCAAGACCCCTACCTTCCTGGCATGCTTCGATGCAGTTTGTGGCTCTCAGTCGGCAGAGCACAATCTAATGGGATAACCCCATTTCCCAGAGACATAAGATCCCCAGAATGATTCGAAACACCCACTGGGGCTTCTCAGGCAGAGCTTCCCAAAACAAAGGTCCCCAGAAGTGTCTTGCATTTACAAACACTGTAAATACCCAGCCTCCACCCCAGAGCATCTGTTTCTGGCTCAGATTTCCTTCTACAAGTTCTTAAAACAGTCCACTTCCTAATGCCCACGCATATGACCATGACTTGCTGGCTAACCTCACCCTCTCTGAGTCCCAGCAGCAGAGGGGCAGTAACTCACTGGATAACCAACATCCCACATGAGGGCACCGCAACCTACAGGTAGCACTGAACAGCCCGGTCCCAGATGGATGCAGGCTGAGTTCAGGATGATCCCCAGTCCACCCTGCCCAGGGTTGTGCCTGCTCTTCACTGGGCGCTTAGCAGCCTGGCAGGGCAGCCACTTGGCCTCACTCTGCCCAGAGCAGTTACTTCAAGTGCATGGCAGGCTGTGCTTGTGCTAAGGTAGCAATGACACCATGGTCCAACTCTGGGCATCCTGCAATAAACCCCTAAGGGCCAGGAGGTGGTGAAAACAAGCTCTCATGTCCCGTTCACCAGAACATCCCCATAGGGCAGTTGTTAGCCTGGGTCTTCATTTTAGTTAAAATGGCCCTGGAGTGACAGCAGCTTACAAACTGCCTTCTGCTGCAGGACTAGGTAGGGTGCATGAGCCTAACGGTAATCTCGGCCCGCTAGTCCAGAGCAGACCCTCCTGGCCTGAAAGCCAGCATCAAGGGGGTGGTCAGCTGCCAGTGGAGTTGCGCCATGAATGGCAACCCAAGACAATCACTTTTGTGCAGCTGTTTTTTTTTTAATCCTCACTCGAAAATTTTAGAGAGAGGAAGGGGATGAGAAAGAGAGAGAGAGAAACAGCCACTGGTTGCTTCCTGTACACACCCTGACCAGGGATTGAACTCAAAACTTGCCCTGACCAAGAATCAAACCTGCAAACTTTTTGGTGTACAGGATAACGCTCCAACCAACCGAGTCACCTGGCCAGGGCTGTGCAGTTGTTGTTTTTTAAATCCTCACCGAAGGACATTTTTGCATTTATCTTCAGATAGAATGGGAGGGAGAGAGGGGCAAAGAGAGAGAGAACAACATCAATATGAGAGAGGCACATCGAGTGGTTGCCACCCACACGACCCCAACAGGGGCAGGGACAAACTGCAACCAAGGTACATAACCTTGGCGGGAACCGAACCTGAGATTCTCTGGTCCATGGGCCTACGCTCTAACCGCTGAGCCAAACCAGCCAGGGCTGTGCAGTTGTTTTTAGTGCAGTGGAGACTGACTAATGTTTACTGTCTTGTGACAAGCACTGTGCTCAGTGCTGCACATCTATTAACTTCTTTGCAGATGAGGTACCTGGGACACCTGGTCCAGAGTGGTGCTCCTCACATAAATGCTTCTAGTCTCCCCTTTGCATCAGTCCACACAAGGCGGGCTAAGGATCTCTTAAGACTAGAATCTCCAGCTTCCTGCAGGGCTCTCCTGGAGATAAAGCAGCTGTCCCCTGCAGGTCTGACCTGGCTTCTCTCTCCAGCCTCCACTCTCCACTCCGATTTACTTTCCAATTCCGAGAGTCCCAAACACACATTTCTTTATTCTTTCCCATCTGCCTGTCTGCCTGAGGCTCTTGTACTCTTCAAGATTGGACCCAATTGTGACCTCTCCTGTCCTTGGGGCCCCTTACACAGTCCTTACAGAGCACTGGCCTGTTTCTCCATGAGTCTGGAGCTAGTCAGAAGCTGCTTCATGCACCTCTGTGCCCCAGGCAAACTGCATGCAGCTGGCACAAAGTAGGTGCACAATAAATCTTAAAAATTGTTTAAGAGCAGCTGGTCAGTTGTCAAAAAAAGATTTCAGAGAATTTTAAGGGAGAGCAACATGCTTCTTCAGAAAAAAGCCAATTTATGTATTTAGTTGCAAAGAGAAGTGGGAAATCTCAACACATTCATTAAGTGCTGAGATAAACTCAAATTCAACCTCAAGGTTTCCAATCTCTATTTGTCAACCCTTAAAGCCAGTTTTATACTTCTATTTTGTAGACATCAGATAACTTTCTTTAATTATATATTTTTTAATTCTCACCTAAGGATATGTTTCTACTGATTTTAGAGAGAAAGCAAGGGAAAAGGAGAGTGAGAAACACCAATGTGAGAGAGAAACATCAATCAGTTGCCTCCCACACTCACCCTGACTAGGGACTGAACCCACAACCTGGGTATGTTCCCTGACCAGTGCACGGGATGATGCTCCAATTAACTGAGCCACACCAGCCAGGGACAGATAACTTTCTTTTCTTTTAATTTTTTTTATCCTCACCCCAAGATATTTTTCTATTTATCTTCAGATAGATTGAGAAGGAGGAAGAGTGTGTGTGTGTGTGTGTGTGTGTGTGTGTGTGAGAGAGAGAGAGAGAGAGAGAGAGACATTGATGTGAGAGAGATACATCGACTGGTTGCTTCCCACGCAACCCTGACCAGGGCCAGGGACAAATGAGGCTAAGGATCTTGACCGGAATCGAACCTGTGACTCATTAGTCTGTGGGCCAATGCTCTAACCACTGAGCCCAACCGCCCAGGACGATAACGTTCTTTTAAAAGATAAAAAAGGAACCCAGCCAGTGTGGCTCAGTGGTTGAGTGTCAACCCATGCACCAAGAGGTCACTGGTTCAATTCCCGGTCAGGGCACATGCCCAGGTTGTAGGTGTGATCCCCAGTGGGGAGCATGCAGGAGGTGGCCAATCGATGTTCTCTCATTGATGTTTTTCTTTCTCCCTCTCCCTTCCTCTCTCTCTAAAATCAATAAAGAAAAAGATAAAATAAAAAAAGGAACAGAAATGTTCCAAAAAAATAACAAAGCACCCACATCCTTACCACTGCAAATTTGCTACTTTAGGCCGGACACAGAAAGCATCTGAACAGGTTTCTCTCAAATGAGCAGCACCCTACCAACAGAGAACAGATTCTGACCTTCAGTGTCTAATGAATTTCCAAGGGACTGGGAAAATGAAATGATAAGTTCTAGAGAAGGAGCTGGATGTCCTTCCTAATTCTTAACATCTATTTAAAGGACACATCTAAAACAGGAGGAGAGAAAGTAAAGAATAATCACAAGGCTACTCTCTCCTTAGAGGTAGTCCGGCAGGTCTTTCCCTCAATAAACCTGCACTTCTGGAGACCCTGCACCGCCTCGTTCCGCCTCGTTCCGCCTCGTTCCACCTCGTTCTTACAGAATGGTGCCGAAACCTGGGGACCGGAGCTTGGTAGCCTGGATGATCCCCGCACAGACCACCCTTACCACCTGGGAAGCAGTGGGCAGCGGAAGCTCGCCTGGGCTAACTCCCAGATTCTGGGTGGACTGTGGTTTGGGTTGATTGGCCGGCTCCAACCCGTCCTGGACCCCCTCCTACCAGAAGCCTCTCATTCCAGAAAACTAAAACCGATCACTCCAGTCAGGAGGAACAGAATGACAGAACCACCCTAACCCACCCCAAACTGCAAACGGTCGCTCAACAAGAAAAACAAGTTCCAGGAGACGCCAGCCCCCGACCAATCAAGAACTTGGGAGACCCTAGCCCATGACCAATCAAAAGAATAATCACAAAACAAAATAAGACCAATCAACAAAAATAGTTCATTAACTCAAAATTAACACAACACATGGGAATACATTTAAAGATACAAACTGCATCACTGGTATGCCGAACACATTTCAACCACCCTGAATTGTTGCTTAGTGGGTCTGATTGCAGTGACTCAAGGAAACTTGTCAGTGCTAAGATCGCCCTGAAGACTGTACTGATCCCTGTACAGAAGGGTGACAGAGTCCCTCAGTTAATCTTACTGCAAGAAAAAACTCTGCAACCTAAACTATTTGTGTCTTTTTAATCCTCACCCAAGGACATCCTCCCCCCCCCCCATAGAGCGGAAGGGAGAGAGAGAGAAACATCGAAGGGAGAGAGAGAAACATCGATGTGAAAGGGACACATCGAGTGGTTGCCACCCGCATGACCCAACCAGGGCCGGGCACAAACTGCAACTAAGGTACATGCCCTTAGCAGGAACCGAACCCGGGTCTCTCTGGACCGCAGGGCAACGCTCTAACCGTTGAGCCAAACCGGCTAGGGCTGCAACCTAAACTATTAAAGTTCCCTGGGAATTGTTAAAATAGTTGCTCATGCATTTATCACAATTCTGAAAAGAAAAAAAGATCACCCAAGCAGAATTCCATTTGCCTCCCATTAAAGCCACTTTGGAGTAAACTGTCAGGAAATAAATTAGTTTCATGCCACCAAGGACACGACAGCAAACGTGCTACTCTTTCGCCCATGAAACACCCTAGTTGAGTGGCGAACTCCACCTGCTCCTCGATCCCTTCTGAGAACCTGGCCCAGAACTTCCTCTCAAGACTCCAGAACTCAGGGCCCAGGTTCCGATAACAGCTCTGCCATTTGCCAAGGGAGACCCTGTGCGCGTTCCCGAACCCGTCCACGGCTTAACTTTCTTGTCTTTACGATGAGGATGAGCCACCCGAGTACTGATGCAACGAGTCTCCCCGAGGCTCAGCTGGGACCGCGCACTGCGCAGTCCGCGCCAGCACCGGCCCAGCAGAGGGCCGCCGTCGAAGGACCTTTGGCCTGTCAGAGCCCTAGACCGGCGGCCCAGGGTCACGCTCTCCCGTGTGCGCGCCGCCATCGCTAGACCGGCTCCCGCGACAGGGAAGACTGAGGCGCAGACTCAGGGATGGCCCAGACTAGCAGGAGGCCGCGTCTTTCTGCCCCGCCGCCCGCCCTGCGCGGGGCCCGGAGGTGCTGGAAGTCTCTGCCGCCGGGAGGCCAGGCGCGAGGCCTCAGTCTACCCGGGGCTCCTTACCCGGCGGGCGGCCGCCGGCCCGGCCCCATTCAGCAGCGGCGTGCCCTCGCCGGCCGGCGCCCCGGGCCGTGCCGTCCTCCGCAGCAGCGGCGCCGTCTCATCGTCATCCTGGTCGCGGCCGGACCACGACACCTTCTTGGAGACGTTGGCCATGGCCCGCCGCTGCCTTGTGTTTGTTCTCGTGACCCGCGCTGATGCCACGTGACCCTGGACAGCGGCCGCAAGACTTTGGTGGAGGCCACGTGATCACGGACGGCGGCCGCGGGGAGGCAACCAGGCTGGGCTTTCTGGGAGTTGTAGTCCAGGCGCCAGGCGCCAGGCGCGGTGTGGCAGGCAGGACCCTGCAGTACTCAAGGTCTGGAAGAGGCGCGCGCTCCGAGTCTGGTGGGAGCCGAAGCCCACTCGAGGAGCTCCTGTCTGTCAACGTAGCCCCAGTCCGTCAGATCCAATCACGACAGAGCAATGGAAAAAGAACCCGGAACAGGAAGGGAGGGAAGGGAGAGGGGGAAGACAAGGGGCCTCTCTCTTTGCAATAGCTGCCTCCAACTAATAAATGTGGAAGGAAGGATGGAATTAGAAACGTCATTTTGCCACCACCATAGTAAAGACTGAATTAGGTCAGGGTCATTAATGCGAGCTGAAGCCATTGGGTTAAGGTTTGCCGGGAAACAGTGTGAACGTAGTCTCACAGTATCTTCCCGCAGGTTCCTTATAGTGAGGAAGGGAAAAGAAATCTGTAAGAAACCTGGCCGACTCCATCTGAACCAGGGACAGCGTAGCTTCACCATGATAGACTGGCATCGTCACAGGCCTCCAGACGCGCTGCAGTGGGCAGGACGCAACATTGCTCCTGTAGCATTCCTCAAGAAAATACCTCCCTGAGTCCCGGGGAGGGGCATGGATCAAATCCCAATGGAGGGAATAACTGCCAACAACTAGGCAGCTCTATTCTGTAGTGTCAGTGTGGTGAAAGACAAAGAAAGGCCAAGGGACTGCCCTCCCTTGGTGAAAGGAGATGAAAGAAACAAGGTAACCAAAGACTACTCTGTGGCTCTGGCATTACTGCAACATTGGCAAAAATCATCTCTGCACGGCCCTGGCCAGTTTGGTTCAGCGGTTAGAGCATCGGCCTGCGGTCCTGAGAGACCCAGGTTTGGTTCCCGCTAAGGGGGCGTACCTCGGTTGCAGTTTGTCCCCGGCCCTGGTCCCTGGTCGGTTGTAAGGGTGGCAGCCACTCGATGTGTTCCTTTCACATGGATGTTTCTCTCTCTCACATCGATGTTTCTCTCTCTCTCTCTCTCTCTCTCTCTCTCTCTCTCTGTTCCTCTCTCTCTCTCCCACTCTACCTGAACAAGAAATGGAAGAATGTCCTCGGGTATGTCCTCGGGTGAGGATAAAAAAAAAAAAAATCGTCTCTGCACACTGTTAGATAGTAGTATTAACGATTCATAGTGTAATCACTGATAACATGTAGCTACCCACAGAGAGAGAAAATGGGATAAAATGTTACCACTTAAGGAATCTAGCATAAATATATATGACATGAAATGTATTTGTCTCAAAACTTTAGGTTTGAAAATTTTCAAAATAAAAAGATTTTAAAAGCTTTTTAGAGGCTCTGAGACTGAGACTCCCTCCTATCACATAATTCAAAATGAAATAAAAACTGAAACCAAAATAAGAGGAAGGAGGTCCAACAGGGTTGTGAATTTCCCCTATGATTATTGGGCAACACTTTTTAGGAAATACTAAAAACAACATTCTTTTTTAAAATTAGTGTGAGCTGGCTTTGCCCTTTGTGGTGATGGTGTCTAGAGTGTGGTGACCCCTAATTTGTGGAGAGGGCATGGAGGCCGGGAAAGGAAGCTGGCTCACACAGGACCCGAGGAGCAGTCAGGATTAGTCCTGGTTGGTTTGACTGACTTGAGTGGCTGAATGTGGTTGGTGTGAAGGTGTCCAGGCAGGCTGAAGAGCTGAGCAGAGCACTGGGGTAGTGAGAACAGTCCCTGGAATGACGGGGTTGTGCAGGGAGGGTGGACCATCTCTGTGGCTAAGCAAGGCAGGACTGGTCCCAAAGGTCATCCCTGTCAGACAGACAAGGAGCCTGAACTTGTCCTTTTGCTGGACAAGTGGCCCTTTCAGAGGACAAATGGGCCTGGGTGGGAAAGGTGGGGGAAGGGAGAACCCAGCCTAGGCACCTTGTCAGGACCCAGCTTCTACAGCTGGTAGAAGAGAGTTTTGGGTCCTTTTATCCTCCTTATCCAGAAACCCTATAGACTAGGATCAAAGATGAGATCTGATGGAATTAGAGATGGACGTGGCTCATGCTTCAAAATGCACATGGACTTGATTGCTGACCCCACAGGGATGGTGGATCATGTGAGATCATCAGACTCCTCTGCTCCAACACCTGGACGGTCTCTCCTTGTCCTGTGGGACAGAGCCCAGACTCCTTAGCAGAATAGGCTAATCCTCACCAAATTCCCAGCCATCTGAGCTCCCACCAAGCTGTCACAATCCCCACTCCAAGCCCTTACATGACCACTCTGTGCTCCTGGATGGTTCCCCTCCCCACAAAGCATCCCAGAGGCACAGCCCACAGTGAACACCCCCTCCACTAAATTTCTGTGACTTTAGGATCTTCAGACATACAATGAATTGCTATTGTGAAGGGTGACAAATCCTAGGTCCCCTGAGGCATTATAAGCCCCCAAGAGCAGGGGAGGAGTGGGATATAATGCCCTGTATGATCTTTCAACACTGGGACCTTGCTGTCCCTTAGGAAATAGTGATCAAATCACCAGTCTTTCCAAAGGAAAGATGTCATCCCTCCCCCCTCAACACCAGACTGGGATGGAGCAAGGGCTCCAGAAAAGACCAGAGGAGATGGACGTATCCTAGCACAGAGCAAGGGGAAGCAGAGCCAGTGACCCGGGGACCTTCATGTGGCCACCTGCAGCGTTTCCAATTCCAGAATGCCTCCTCTGACCTTAACTCACGAAAGGTGGCATTGGTGGAGGGGGCAGGGAGTGGGGGGGCACTAGGCTGAGTCTTTCAGCTGAAGCCTGGAACTGCTGGGGCCACAGAGAGCTCTGCAGGGAGAGGAACCCTGCTAAGGGATCCAAGGGACTAATTTAGGGCACCTCCCTCAGGGAAAGGAGGTGCATTTGGGTCTTCTTGGGGGAAATTACCAATGTTAAGAGTTAATTTACATTATACTGAATCTGGAAGTAAACCATGCCTGTTCTAACTGTCAAGACGTATTTTTTATGTACAGTCAGAATTCTAAAAAAAAAAAAAAAGTCCAAAAGACAGATAATATATCAAGTGCTGGCAAGAATGTGGAGAAATGAGAACCTTCATATATTGCTGGGGAGAATGTAAAATGATGCAGCCTCTTTGGAAACCAGTTTGATGGTTTCTTTGAAAGTTTAGACATGAATTTACCATATGATCCAGCAATTCTACCCCTAAGTATCCACGCAAGGTAAATAAAAATATATTTCTACCCAAAGACTCGTATGAGAATGTGTATAGCAGCTTTATTCATAATAGCCCCAAACTGGAAACAATCCAACTATCCATCAATTGCTGAATGGATAAATAAAAACGGTCCCTTACAATAGAATGTTATCCAGCCACAGGAAGGAACGAAGCACTAACATGAGTGAACCTGGAGAACATTTGCTGAGTGAGAGAAGCCAGATGCAAAAGGACAACTTCTTTTTTTTTTTAATTCTCACCTGAGGACATTTTTGCATTTATCTATTTATCTTCAGATAGAGCGGGAGGGAGAATGGGAGGAAGAGAGAGAGAGAGAGAGAGAGAAACATTGACGTGAGAGAGACATATCGAGTGGCTGCCACCCACACAACCCCAACCGGGGCCGGGGACAAACTGCAACTGAGGTACGTGCCCTTAGCGGGAACCGAACCTGGGCCTCTCCGGTTTGTGTGCCAAGGCTCTAACCGCTGAGCCAAACTGGCCAGGGCAAAAGGACAACTTCTGTATGATTCCATTTCTAGGAAAGGTCCGGCACAGACGAATTCACAGAAACAGAAAGCAGAACAGTGGCTGCCAGAGCTAGGGGAAATGGCGGGGGTGACAGGAGTGACCACTAATTGGCATGATTTTGGGGTGGGGCAACAGAAATGTTCTAGAATTGGACTGTGGTGATGATTGCAAAATTTGGTAAGTTTACTAAACAATCTTTAACTGTACACTTAAAACGAGTGAATTTTATAGTATGTAAATTCTACCCCAGTGCAGTTGCTTTAAAAGCATTGCCCATCCACTGTTAATGTTGTTTCTGAATAGACTGTGCTCCTTGCAGGTCCCCTTTCCTGGAGGCTTAGGTAGCCTCGACAATCATCACAGGACCTTGAGGGAACCCCAGGGTTCCCAGTGAATGTGGGGCCGTAGTGTTGGGAGCCAGGAAATGAATTCTCCAGGCCTTGTCATGAGATGCTGGAACAAGGATCACCCAAAGGGAAACTTCCATAAGTCACCTTGGGAGTGTGATGACAGTTCACATGCTGTCCATGCGGTTTCAAGGAAAATAGTTCTCCACGCAGTAGCCTGTAATGGCAGGAAACTCACACCCAGAGGAGAGGCCCTGTAGGAGTCCAGCACTCCCACCTGGCCTGTGCGGGCCTTGTTACAGCGACGTCATACTACAGAGGGGGCAGCTGTAAGGATGCTGCTGCAAGGGAAAGAATGCAATTCTTAGGGACCCTGACTCATGTCTCTGCCCGTTGCCCTCTCTCCCTCCATGTTTCCTGGTCCCCTCCATGGAATGCCCACATTCTATGTTAGACACCAGGTGTGCCTGGCAGCATCCTGCCCCTCGGTTCCCAGTCTGGGAGGGGTCCCTCCATGGAGTGTGCTGGGGTCTGGAATGGCTGAGCATAACTGGAGACTAGCTTCTCTTGCCAGCCCAGAGCATGACCACAGCTCCCAGGTGGTGAGGCCTCATGGACAGAGCTCTAGGCAGGTGCAATTCACCTTCTGCACAAATCCACCTATCAACGCGGCATTGGCCAGTGTCAGGATGGCACCCGGCGGGAGCTCCTTCCCAGTGGCAAGGTGTGAGACTTCCCGGGGTACCAGCACACGGTCCCATATGGCTAGGCCTGCTATGCTCCCCACAAAGGCCTCAGAGCCATCAAACCCACCCCCCATGGTGTCTTGCTCTTGGCCCAGCACCAGGGACCCTCCGGGAGGGACCTCATAGCCCTCCCTGAAGCGGGAACCAGTGGCGACGAGCCTGCGGTCCACGTGGAGCCAGTACCTGCCCAGGATGGATGTCCAGATGACACACACGTGGTGCCACTGGCCATCCAGTAGCGGCTGCAGGGGCAGTTCCCTGAAGGCCGGGTCTCCAATCACAAAGTGGATAGAGCCAGGGACCAGGGAGTCCCGGCCGTGCAACACCAGCTTGTTATCATTCTCCTCGGTGGCATAGGAGAGGAGGGTGCCCAGGTGGCCCGAGGTTGTTCGGACCCAGCTGCAGACAGACAGGGCCCGCAGGCCTGAGAGGAAGCCGGGGCTGAGGAACACCACATTCTTGGTGGAGGTGTTTGGGAAGACGAGTGCAGGGCCCACGTTGCAAACTAGAAACAGAGGGGAGAGAGTCAGCTCTTGCACCACAAGGCCACCCAGAAACATCCAGAAGCTCCCAGAAATATCCAGAAACATCCATGCTACAGGATTTTCTTTTGCCCCAGGCGGGTGGGCCTAAGACCCCAGCAGCTGGCCTTCATCAGGCACTAACTGTGAGGTTGTCTCATTATCCGACGGCGGGAAGACTGAGAGCCAGGGCAGTCGTGTGCCTTGCTGGGGAGCAGGCCTGAGCTGACACCCTTGCCACCAGGGCAGCCTCATGTGTGTCTCCTATGGGTGCTGTGACAAATCTCCAGAGACTCAGTGACTCAAAGCAACGCAGACTCAGTGTCTTGCAGTTCTGGAGGTCAGAAGTCCAACACAGTCTCACTGCGCTAGACTCGTGGTGTTGGCAGAGCTGGGTCCTTCTGGAAGAGCCCCGGACGAGCCCTTTCCTGCCCTTTCCAGCTTCTAGAGATGCCCGCATCCGTGGCTCATGGCCCTTCCTCCAGCTTCAAAGTATATCCCTCTGACCTCTGCTTCTGTCGTCACATCTCTGACCCTGACGCTCCTGCCTCCCTCTTATAAGGACCCCTGTGATGACATTGGGCCCACGCCATAGTCGAGAATCATCTCCCATCTCAATATCACATCTGCAAAGTCCTCTTTGCCACAAGAGGGTCCCAGCATCAGGCTGTGGACGTCTTTGGGGGTCATCACCTTGCCCACCAGACTTCCTGCCAGGTCCGCCTGTGTGTGTTGGGAGGCGGTTGGCCTCCAGTTGCTGCACCTGGTCTGAGGTTCCGATTGGCAGGCTGGGGCAGAGCCTAGAAATATGCCTTTCTAGCCCATCATCCCAGTGAGTTTGAGGATGTAGGGCATTCTGTGGCTGGCCTCCAGCTCCTCTCTCCACTTGGGGGCTCCTGTCATAACCTAGGGCAGCGGTCCTCCACCAGAGGTGACTGTGACCCCAGGGCACATCTAGCAATGTCTACACAGAGTTCTGGTTGTCAAACCTACAGCCCTCCCTTTCCTGGAAGCCCTGGCAGTTTCCTAGAGGTCAGCTGGTTGTCCTGTCTTACTGGTGAGGCCACCGGCATGCCCAGGACAAAGGGGAACCCTGCTTCAGATTAAGGGGCTCTGGAGGCTGCTAAACAAGACAGAGGGAGTAACATAGTCAAAAATAAAAGTTAAAGATAAACTGACATCTAGTGGGTGGAGGCCGGGGTGCTGCTAAACACCCTAAAGTGCCTGGGACAGCCCTCACTAAGGACTGCCTGCCCCAAATGCCCGCAGTGCTTCCACCAAAAACCCCTCACCCGGGAAATCAGACTGGCTTTTCAAAGGCCTGGGCCCACCATAGGTGGGCATGAGCCCTACGAGGTGCTGGCTGAGCCAAGGCCCTACAGAGGGCTTGTGCTGGCGATAGCTGAGAGCATGGGTGGGATCCTGCCAGCCCTAATGAGGCCAACCTCTGACGTGGAGTGGGCAGGTACTGACGGCGGGCAGCACCCTGTCGTGTGTGTGCACTTACTCTTAATGCCCAGCCCGAGGAGTGGCCTGACCTTCTGGGGACCTACAGATTGGCTGCCACCTGGATGACCCCTTTCTTCTGGGATGGGGTAAGCGGGGCATGAAGCCAGTGTCCTCTCCACACAGCTTCGGAGGGATCAGAGGCCTAGGGAGGAGGAAAGGGAAGAGTGGAGGTGGGTAAAGGAAGGGCAGGCCCATGGTACTTACTCTCGCCCAGTCTCTCGGGGGGCCATGCCCACTGGCCGTCTGAGCCTGGGGGCTCCCGTGTCCCCTGGAGATGGCCAGGAAAATCTTGAGGTGGGTCCATGGACTCAGGTGAAGCTCTGAACACCTGTCTGCCCCCCTGAAGCTTCAGGGAGCTTGGGCTTGGCATCCCAGGCTGGGCAGGGGCCCACGCTGAGGCTGTGGTACCAGGGCAAGCCACCTGAAGCCACCCATTGAGAGCAGCCAGCCTGGTGCTCTGGCTCTGGACAGCCTGTGTCAGGCGAGCCAGTGTGTCCTGCAGGGCTCGCACATCCAGGGCCAGGCCAGACAGTGCTTCCCTCTGTGCCTCCCGCTCCTTCCTCTCCCGGCTGTGCTGCTGGCTCCTCTCCCTCAGGGCATAACCCAAGGCCAGCAGCCTGGAATCCACCTTCCGGCTTCTGCGTTGTGTCTTCCGCATCCAGGTCTTGATGTGGTCCAGGTCACCCTGCACAGTGGTCTGAGACTGGTTGACTGCCAGAACCAAGGACTGACTCTCCTGGGCCAAGCTCTGGAACCGGGCATCAATGTTGTAGGACAGGTTGTAGTTGCTGGCGATGGCCTGCAGGTGTGTTAAGGTCACCTCCTGGAACCTCTGAAACTGCAGAGGACACAAGGCAGCGTTGGGGACCTGGGCCCGGGAGGATGAGGAACAAGCCTTCCCTGGTATGCTTCTGTGGTGCCTCCCAATGGCCGGCCAATCATCATGACCAGCCCCATCCCAGCCGAGCTCAAGGAGGGAGACCAGCTCAAGGTCACTCGGCAGCACTGTGTTGGGTGAGGGCTTCAGGCCCACAGACTGGCCCCCACTCTACCCATGTCCCTCAGGGTCTTCCCTGTGATGGATGGATACCAGGATGGGCTGAGTGAACCGTTTATACGCTGAGGCAGGCCTGGCACATGCAGGGCACTCGGGAAGTGGCTACTGACCCACATGGGTGTGTCTGCTCCACAACAGACCTGAGACCTCAATGCCCGGTGCTGCCACCTCATCTGTTCCCCTCCCCTCTCCCCTTTCCCCCCTCCCCCCAGCATACCTTCAGCTGCACCCCTGCAGACTAGAAAGTCTACCCCCTCCCAGCTTCTGACTCCCTCCCAGCTCTCAAGTGTCAGAATCCAGAACTGGGTCTAGGAAACCTTTTGGCTGGTTTCCAACTATAGGTGAAAATAACATCCGCTGATAAAAAGAACTCCGAACCCCACGTCTGTGTCCACAGAGCACCAGTGTTCACTACTCCATTTCCATAAGGTGCATCCTTCCTCTGTTGTCAATGTTCTAAAAATCAACTGCCCTGCAGGGTGGGTACATTTACCTGTTCCTCCAGTCTGCGGAGCCTCTCGAAAAATGGTTTTCTTTGCCTTATAGGGCCAGCTTCCTGTGACAAAACCCCATGCAGACACACCGGCACAAAAATAAGGAAGAAAGACAGGGTCTTCCTTCCTGGGAAGCCCATTCTGAGAAGGAGGAGGCGCAGGAGTTGCCACCAACTTGTAGGATGCTGCTGCCTGCTTTGTGCTCCTGCCTCAACCTATTCTCCCTGCAGCTCTCAGTGGAGTTTTCCTTCTTGGATCTGGCTGGGAGTCAGGTACTTCCTGCCACCGAATGAAAGGCATTTGCCCTGCAGCCCACGGGCTCTGGAGATTTGAAGGTTCCCAAGGAGACAAACTTAAAACAGATACAGTTTCTTTGGAAAATAATTCTATGGGGTGGAAGCCCTGGTCTGGCTGGCTCAGAGGCGGACAGGGGTGATTGCTTTAGCAGGAGCACATGGACTGATGTTCCCACCAAAAGGAAGTTAAAGCAGGACAGGGAACCTGGCTGGGCCAGGGAGTCCTTGGATCCAAGCCTGCAGTGAGGCCCAGCATCCCTCTTTGAACAGAGCATCCTGTGAGGACATCTCTCCCTTGGGTAAGAAAAAGGAAACGGGACTGAGAGCCACTGTAATTTATTTTGGGGAACAGGTTGTGCAATGGGCTGAATGGTGACTCCCCAATCAGGTAGGTCCAAGTTTTAATCCCTGTACTTGTGAATGAGACCTTATTTGAAAAAGGGTCTTTGCAGAGGTACAGTGGTCCCCTTATCTGTCACCCTGTTTACTCTCTCCTGCTTAATATGAAAGCCCAGCCAAGGATCACTAGACACTCAGAAGCCTCTGACAAGAGTGACATAAATCTGCCCAAATAGAAAAGAAACCCAGGAGACAATGCAGAGGTCCTAGGAAATGCTCAAAAGACTCTAACCAATACCTCCAGGAAAACAAGAAAAGCTGTGTGTTCACAAGGCAAGAAATGAATGCTACAGAAAAATGAAATAATCAGAAAGAAAGAAGTTGCTCTTGAATGCCCTGGCCGGTTTGGCTCAGAGGTTAAGCATTGGCCAGCGGACCAGAGAGTCTCGGGTTCGGTTTCCGCTAAGTGCATGTACCTTGGTTGCAGTTTGTCCCTGGCCCCAGTTGGGGTTGTGTGGGCGGCAGCCACTAGATGGGTCTCTCTCACATCGATGTCTCTCTCTCTCTCTTCCCTCCTCTCTCCCTCCCGCTCTATATGAAGAGAAATGCAAAAAATGTCCTCGGGTGAGGATAAAAAAAAAACACTATAATCCCCCTCACATACAGCTTGAAAGGCAAACTTAAAGCAATTGCCCAGAAAGTACAGAAAAAAGATAAAGAGATGGAAAATAAGAGAAAACATGATATTTGAGATCAATCCAACAAAAATAAACTGTAGAGAGTGAGACTAAAGAAAACGGGGTGGAAGAAATTGTTAGGAAGATAATCCAGGAAGGTGTCGCAGACAAGGACATCCGTTATTTTCAAGACCACATGCCAGAGAGCACTGGGTCAAGGAAATGGCGACTGACCCCAAGGCTCCTCTTATCAAGTGCCAAAACACCTCGGACAAGAAGGAGATCTTAAAAATGTCCAGAGAGAAAACCTGGTCACATGTGAAGGATTGAGACTTTCCTCAGAGAATTGTTGGCCACCTCAGCAGCAGTGCTGGCTGCCAAAGACAGAGGAGCAAACCTTAACATTTCTGAGTGCAAATGTTTTCCAAATTTAAAAACTGTGCATCTAGCCCTGGCCGGTTTGGCTCAGCACTTAGAGCGTCACAGGTTTGATTCCAGGTCAAGGGCACATATCTGGGTTGCAGGTTTGATCCCTGGCCCCGATGGGGGTCATTCTGGAGGTAATCAATGGATGTGTCTCTCTCACATCGATGTTTCTCTCTCTCTCCCTTCCACTCTATCTAAAAATCAATGGAAAGATATCCTCGGGTGAGAATTAACAAACAAAATTGTTTGTTAACCTGGAGCAAACGATGAAGACATTTATCAGATATGTAAAGGCTTAAGAACTTGATCTTCAGTGCACTGTTTTGTGAGAATCACAGGAAAATAGGGGAACAGAGGATGACTGTAGTAGCTGGAGAGTGAGGGCTCTAATCCAAAAGTGGACTGGGAGGAATTTCCAGAGTCCCAGGAAGGCACCATCTTCGACTCCTTGCTCCCAGTCACACCTCACATCCGGTCAGTTCTACTCCACAGAAATATCCCAGGTCAGCCAGTTTTCACCACCTGGCCCACACCTGTCTTTACACCAGCCACCCAGCTGGGCTCGCTGCATCCGGTTGCCCCCTACCGTCCATTCTCCCAACTGCACCAGGGTGGGAGTTTTAAAATGAGTGCCCTTAGTCATTTTCTTACCCATCTACTTTTTAGAATCACAATTTGCCATCTGATTTATTGCTCATGTACTTTATTTTCCTCCCTGATATGTGAGCAAGGACTTCATCTGCTTCATTCTCTTCCCTGAAGAGTGCTTGCTGCGCGCAGCAGGCATTTAGTTAATGTATGTTGAATGAGTGAATGTCTCCCAGATCTCCCCGCGAGAAGGGCCGCTAGGTCGCGCCTGGAGCAACCCCCTCAGGGCGAAGTCGGGGAGCGCGGCCCCACCCACAAGGGGGACTACGCCCCCACAGGCCTCGTCCTCCTTTGGCACAGACCCCGCCCCCGTCTGGCGCAGGCGCAGATGGGCCGCCCGCCCCGAGCCTCTTCCGGCTCCGGGGCTCCGCAGATTCGTCAGAATCGATCAGCTGACCCCCAGGCTCAAAGAAATTCAGCGGCTTCTCTGCCCGGGCCCTGAGCTCGTGTCCCGCGGCGGCGCGCTCTGGGAACCGAGCGTGGAGCTGGGCCTCGCGGCCATAGCGAATCGGCGGCGGGTCCACAGCGGCGGAGCCGGTCCGAGCCGCTGCTGCCACTCCCGGGACCCAGCGGTGGCGCGCCGCTCCGAGACCCTGCCCTCTGCCGACCGCCTTCTCCAGCCCCTGAGACCCCCTCCCATCCCACGCGGCCCCCTCCCGTCACGCCACGAGGTGGGCTTCGGATGCACCCTTGGTAGGGGGCATGGGACAGGCTGATCGCTGCCCTGTTAGTCGGCGTGTGCAACGGGTACCGGAGCCCGCGTAGACCAGGCTGGGTCGGGAGGCACCAGGCTCTTGGGGGCACTGTTGGGCCCCTACTACAGCCTTATCAAGAGGCTGGGTGCACTGGTGACAAACTGGTGCCTGCTTAATGGTACTTAGTCCTGCAGGGGCCCCCCACCCGAAATAAAGACTACCCACGGAAGGCTATGGTTTCTAAAAAGGAAGGGAGTTGGGTGAGGTGAAAGTTGGAAATGCGTGGATGGGTGCCTCTAGTCCAGGGTCTCCCAGCCTCGGCACTGTTGACATTTGGTTTGGATAATCCTCCGTTGTAGGAGCTGTCTTGTGCATATGGAATGTTTACCAGCATCCCTGGCTCTTACCATCTTCAGTTGTCACAACTGAAGATGTCTCCAGTTACTGGCATTTGTCCCTGGACTGGTTGCCCTACTGTAGAAGGTGTCATAGAGTACCTAAGGTCCTGAAAAGGACTCCGGTGAAAACATGAAAGATGTGGAGGGAGAGGATATTGCTGGGCGATAGTAGGGGTGAGGTGGAATGAGGTCCCAGGAAGCTTATTTATTTCATTTCATTTTATTTTTTTTATTCCTCACTCAAGGATACTTTTCTATTTATCATCAGATAGAGGGGGAGGGAGGTAGAGAGAGAGACACACACACAGAGAGAAACGTCAATGTGATAGAGCCACGTCAACCGGTTGCCTCTCACAGGATCTGACCAGGGCCAGGGACAAACTGCAACTGAGGTACGTGCCCTTGGCCGGAATCGAACCCGAGACTTATTGCTCCACGGGCTGATGCTCCAAACCGGTCAGGGCCCCAGGAAGCTTATTTAATAAGAGGCCAGAGGATGGGGATATGAGAATATGTGAAAAATGCTTCCTCGTCTGAGACTGGGTCCCATGTGGATGCCCATGGCTTCGTGCACTTCTCATATCCTTCTTGTGAACAGGATGGATCCATTGCTGTCTTCAGTCCGGCTTGCCGTCTGTGAGGCTGTTCACACCCTCACATCTTCTGAGGATGGTGGCTGCATCTTCTCCACCCTGGGGTCCCTGAAGCGTTATCTTGGAGAAACGGAGAACCCAGCCCTCCCTGGGGAGCAGGAGGAGTTTGCCAGGGTCCACTTTTCTACCTTTCTCAGATGTCTTATCAGCAAGCTGAGTCCAGGCTGGCTGGAGTTGCTGCCTGATGGCCAGTTGGAGGAGTTGTGGGCCAGCTTCTTCCTGGAGGGCCCGGCTGACCAAGCCTTCCTGGTGCTGATGGAGGCCCTTGAGGGCACTACTGGGTAAGTGGGGCTGGGTCTCATTATGGGGTCTCTCATCACTTCCAAAGCATAAGCATGGCCTGAAGGATTACAAACCACTGGTAGGGCACCTGAAAACTAAAAGTGGTTTGTATTAATCTCTGCAATGGGAGGGCCCTTGCTTTGATGTGTAGGCGAAGGGAGGGAGCAGAAGTGTTTGTGTCCCTGCGGCTAAGGCAGTGGGTTAGCTCCAGACTGAGGTGACGTGTGGCAGTGCATCGCCATTCTCTTGGACCCTGTCCTTCACCCTGTGGTTCCCAGCTCTGCGGTGAGGCACCCAGGCTCTGCAACCAGCTTATATGACCCCTCGCTTGGGGTGGCTCCTAGATTCCACATCAGAGCACAGGACAGTCCTAGTGGGGATGTCTTGTTGGAAAGCTGGGTTTTCAGTATTGCTGCAAAAAGCAAGCACCGTGTGAAAAGCACTACCAGGAGAGGGCAGTGATGTCCAGTGTGGTTCCAGGGTAGGAGGCTGCACTGGGCTCAGCAGGTGCTTGTACCCCACTGGTAATTGTAGCTACTTAGTAGGGAGATCTATTTTTTTTTTTAATCCTTACCTGAGGGCATTTTTACATTTATCTTCAGATAGAGGGGGAGAGAGGGAGGAAGAGAGAGAGAGAAACATCAATGTGAGAGAGACACATCGACTTGTTGCCACCCACATGACCCCAAATGGGCCCAGGGACAAACTGCAACCAAGGTACGTGCCCTTAGTGGGAACCAAACCCGGGACTCTCTGGTCTGCGGGCCAACGCTCCAACCGCTGAGCCAAACCGGCCAGGGCAGTAGGGAGATATAAATACTCTTTTTTTTAATATATGTGGAGGATGTAAGGGTCAATTAAGCTCTTGGGATTTTCTGTGTAATGAGGGCTGTTTAAGATGCTGAGGGTGGAGAGGCTTGGGGCTCTGCCCATCACACGTGCTCTTGGTTCAGTCCCAGTTTCCGTCTGATGAAGATGGCGAGGCTGCTGGCCCGGTTCCTGAGGGAGGGCAGGATGGCTGCGGTCATGGAGGGGCAGTGTCGGCAGCAGAAGGAGCTGGCCTTTCCTCTGCACCAGGAGGCGCTTCTGATCAGGGTGGTGGGCTTGCCCGACCGCCTGGGCAACTGTCTGCAGCATGAGAACCTAGCTGAGTTCTTCCCTCAGAACTACTTTCCTCTGCTCGGGGAGCAGGTCGTGCGGGTGCTGCAGGCGGTTGTGGACTCTCTCCGAGGTACGGTCCCCTCCAAAGTGCCCTCTACCAACCATTTTCTCAGGCTGCCATCCCCTCCATCCCTCCCTGACCTCTGGGCACTTTGCAGTCTTTGGGTGGTGCCACCGGTAGGCCAGAAGTTGTCTCCTGTTTGGGGTGTTATTGACCCACATGTTGAAGTTTCACCCACATCTTGGCTGTTGACCTTGGAGGTGGAGCTGACTTGATTTCTTCAGTTCTTGGGTAGACATTGGTGAAGCCAGCCAGAGGGCTGCTCACTGCGGGGCCCTTACCCAGGTTCTTATGGTGACGAATGTTCGTCTCACTTGGCTGTTGGCTAGGGTCTGCTTGTCCTTGTTGGCTTGGGTCTGGCTCAGTGTCTTTGTCGCTGGGCATCTTGGGTGCCTTGAGGGGCACTGTGGGGTGGCTTCTTGCTCACCCTCTTATCACAGAGTCTTTGAAGTATCAGTTGTGAGGGCAGGTGTTTCGCCTGAGAGTGTCCAGCACTCTGGCAGCTAAGGTAGTTGCGCTGGTGCCAAGTCGGGTGCTGCTCGAGGCCCTACAGGAATGTTGCTTCATGGGATCCCAGGACCGGCCTCCAGGCAGCATCCCTGGCTGGGGGAGGGACACACAGTGAGGTGAGGCTTTTATCTCGTCAGGTCTCTCAGCCCCACTGCTTTTTGCTGGGTGATGCCGCTAGGACCTTCTGAAGGTGTCCGGGATGTGTGTAGTCCACTGTGCAGTGGTGTGCAGGGGCCCCTTCAGATCGCAGACACCGCCCTTCCATCGTTTCCGCCCTGCGGGGTCCGGTCTGATTCCTGGTCGGCTCCGTCATCCTGGCTCTGGTAGTGGAGCTGGTACTGCCCACCGTCTTCTTGTTCCTATGTCCTTGTTTCCTCCCTTCCTCCTGGTGGGCTGCTCAGAGCCCCACCTGCCCCTCTGAGTAGCTGACCGCCTTAGCCAGGCCCCTCTTGGTACTTCTTTGTCCCTATTTCGGAGGATCATTGTGACCGTTAAGTGGGCAAATATGTATAAAGCTTTTTAAAAATTTTTTTATTCCTCACCTGAGGATACTTTTCCATCTATCATCAGATGGAGTGAGAGGGAGGGAGGGAGGGGGAGAGAGAGAGACAGAGAGAAACATTGATGTGATAGAGCCACATCCACTGGTTGCCTCCCGCATGACCTGACCAGGGCCACAGACAAACCGCAACTGAGGTACGTGCCCTTGACTGGAATTAAACCCGCGACTCATTGGTCCGCGGGCGGACACTCTAACCGCTGAGCCAAATTGGCCAGGGCTGTAAAGCTTTTTAAATAGGTATTATTGTTGGCTCCTCTTAGAACAGTTCTATTAGATTATGGTTGAATTAGAGTGAATCGGCATTTTGGAGCATGGTCTGTCCCCAGGTATTCTTTGACAGCCTTATCACCGCCCTCCTTTAAAATCTCCTTTTCCTTCCTGTCCCAGGCGGCTTGGACTGCTCTGTATCCTTCGTGTCTCAGGTCCTTGGGAAAGCCTGTGTCTACGGGCGGCAGAGTGAGTGTTTCCTGTCTGGGAGAAGCCACAGCATGTCTGGCCCTGGCCCCCTTCCTCCTGGTAGCTGTCCTGGGTGGTGGGCAGCATGTTCCCCTGGCGGACGGTGGGAGCATTGCTGTGTGTTCCAAAACGGCAACGGCCCCCTCGCCTGGGCCTGGTTGTGGGTGGGCTGATGCCAGCCTGGGCTTCTGGCAGGGGGCGTGGCTATGCAGCTGGTGGGCAGGTGGGCTGCAGACACTGGACGCCTCCTCTGTTTGCTTTCCCCCAGAGGAGATCCTGGGCATGCTGGTGCCCAGGCTGACAGCTCTCACCCAGGGCAGCTGCCTCTGGCAGCGGGTCTGCTGGCGCCTGGTGGAAGGTGTGCCTGACCGGGCCATGGAGGCTGTGCTGACAGGGCTTGTGGAGGCTGCCCCTGGGTAAGAAGCAGGGCACCCTTCCCACTGCACATGCTTCTCTCTTAAGAAGGTGGGAAGTGGGGATCCATCCTTGCCTGCCATCCCTTTGTATGTAGTCGGTTTCTGGTCCTTCATGGGAAAGGCTGGCCACGCCCACTCTAGGTGAAGTATTTAGCCCCAGTTTCCATTTTTATCAGGAAGAGGGAGAATCTGGACCCATTGGGAGCTAAAACGCTCACCCAGGCTCCCCATGGTTAGTGTGGAGCCCAGGATCCAGCCAGGTATGTTGAGATTCTCTCTCCCTCCACTGTGCCTCACAGGCCTGAAGTCCTCTCTCGACTGCTGGGGAACCTGGTGGTGAAGAGTAAGAAGGCCCAGTTTGTGATGACCCGAAAGCTCCTGTTCCTGCAGTACAGATACACGGTGGGAGTGCCTGCAGGGGTGCGGGCCGCGGGCCGCCTCGGGTCCCAGAGAAATGACTGTAGCAAGTGGAGCTGGAGCAGTGCTCAGCTGCTCAGGAAACATCCCTTCCTTCAGCCCAGACCCGTTCCCAAGGGCTCCCCTGCCAGGCAGGCGGGACATGGGTGGTATCTGCCTGGCAGACAGTGACGAGATGCCCGGCTTCTGTTGCAGACGCCTGTGCTGCAGAGCCTGCTGGGGTACCTGGCCAAGGACAGCCAACGGCGTCCACTCCTCGTACAGGTAAGTCCTGTCTGGCCCTCAGTCCCTGGCAGTGTCCCAAGACCATCTACTGGTGGGACAGGGAGGGAGCACCCTCCTGCCTGGGATGGAGGGGAGGTCGGTGGGGCTGTCTCATCAGCCAGGGCTGTGCTGCCCACCAGGCGCTGAAGGAGCTGCTGGAGACGTGGGGCAGCAGCAGCGCCGTCCGCCACGCACCCCTGCCGCAGCAGTGCTATGTCAGCAAGGCTGTTCTCATCTGCTTGGCGCATCTGGGGGACACGGAGCTCCAGGACAGCCGAGAAGGTGAGCCGGTGGAACGGGCGCCCTGTCCCCATTGCCCCCTTCTCCACGGGCACACTCAGCATGCGTATGTTGGTCCTTCCAGAGTTGCTGGCCAGCCTAATGGCAGGAGTGAAGTGCCACCTGGACAGCAGTCTGCCTGCTGTGCGTCGCCTGGGCATGATTGTGGCCGAGGTGGCCAGTGCCCGGATCCACCCTGAGGGGCCTCCCCTGAAGTTCCAGGTGAGTGAGGGCTGTGCCTCCGTGGTCTTCCCAAGCTGCTGTCGCCCCAGCCCCGATGTCACCTCACCTTCCTGGGTCCATGCTCATAGAGCATCTATCTCTCTGTTGGTGGCCCTGCTGAGGGTTCACAGCTTAGAGGGCGGTGGAGGTATAGCCCCTCAGTTGTGCCCGAGCAGGTCCCCCAGGTGGATCCCTGGGTGTTTAATGCTCGGGCCATCCTAGGCACCCCCTCCTCTCCATCCACTGAGCCCTCTGGGACATCCTCAGGGGCACTGCCATGTTTGCTCGGTCCTGGGGTATTCTCAGCTCCCTCAGGAGGGTTGGGGCCCTTCAGCCCTCAGCATACCCAATGCTGCCCTTTGCCAAGGTGGAGATTTAGAAAGTTGCCCTTGAAAGGCTCTGGCTGTCAGAGGCTGGAGCTATAGACTGAGAGCTGCAGTGGGAGGGCCTTGGAGGGGCCCTGGCTCTGCTGCTCCTGCCGTCCTGTCCCAGCCGACTCCCGGGCTTTTCTGTTGCAGTACGAAAAGGACGAATTGAGCTGTGAGTTGCTGGCCTTGGCTACCCTCCAGCCTGCCGCTGACAGCCCCTCAGAGGCGGGGTGAGGTCTCCCAACCCTGAGCTCTGGGCATGGTTGGCCAGGTGGGGGTAGTTTCTATACGCGTCGTGGTGGACTGTCAAGTCATCCTGGACTCAAGTTGCTGAGGCAGAAGCTACAAGGACTAGGGTGGGGGTGGAAGGAGCGTTTCCTTGGGAAGCATAGGTGCTAGACCAGAAATGTGTGAGGTTGTCGCTGAAGGATTCCTCCTTGTTTCCCAAAAGCCCATTTGTCGCTCCAGTCGCTGCAGAGACCCCTGACAAACAGACTGTAGACAGTGGAGTCCCCCAGGTGCGGCCACAGGGCTCTGACTCCGAGCTTGACAGGTAGGACGGAGATCTCGGGTGGGAAGGCACTGAGGCCCAAGGCAGCCCATGCTGTGTCAGAGCCCACGAGGTGAACTCAGGGGCTGACAGGCTTAAGACAATGGGTCAGCCTGGCTGGTGTGGCTCAGTGGTTGAGCGTTGACCCATGCATCAAGAGGTCGCTGGTTCGGTTCCCAGTCAAGACACATGCCCAGGTTGTGGGCCCGATCCCCAGTGGGGGGCATGCAGGAGGCAGCCAGTCGATGTTCTTTTCATCAATGTTTCTATCTTTCCCTCTCCCTTCCTCTCTCTTTAAAGATCAATAAAGAAAATTTTTTTTTTTTTTTTTATCCTCACCCGAGGACATTTTTCCACTCTTTGTTCAGGTAGAGTGGGAGGGAGGGAGAGAGAGGAACAGAGAGAGAGAGAGAAACATCGATGTGAAAGGAACACATCGAGTGGCTGCCACCCGCACAACCGACCAGGGCTGGGGACAAACCACAACTGAGGTACGCGCCCTTAGCGGGAACCGAACCCGGGTCTCTCTGGACTGCAGGCCGACGCTCTAACCGCTGAACCAAACCGGCCAGGGCAAGAAAAAATTTTTTTTAAGAAGTAAAGAAAGAATAATCAATAAAGAAAAGGAAAAAAAAAAAAAAAAAGACAGTGTGTCAGCCTACACCACTGTGCTGGCTCTGACCTCTTTCCAGGCTTTTTCTCAGTATGAAAACCGGTATGGAAGGGCTCAGCGTCACTGTAGCCTTAGCCTATCAGTTGTTCTTTTTTTTTTTTTTTAATCACTACCCGAGGATATTTTTTCCATTGATTTTTAGAGAGAGTAGAAGAGAGGAAGGGAGGGGGAGAAAGAGAGGAGAGAGAAACATCGATGTGAGAGAGACACATTGATTTGTTGCCTCCCATACGTGCTCTGACCAGGGCTAGGGATTGAACCTGCAACCCAGGTATGTGCCCTTGACCAGGAATCGAACCGGTGACCCTTTGGTCTTCAGGCTGATGCTCTAACTACTGAGCCACATGGGTCAGGGCCCATTAATCGTTCTTGAAGCTTCAGGGACTGGGAGATGAATTTTTATTTTTTTATTTGAGAGAGACATCAGTTTGTTGTTTCACTTATTTATGCATTCATTGGCCAATTCTTGTATGTATCCCGACCGGGGATCTAATCCACAACCTTGGTGTATTGGGACAATGCTCTAACCACGTGACCTATCTGCCCGACCCTGGGAGTGGAATCTGGTGACTCAGGAGCTTGTCCTGGTGGTGGAGGGTGCCAGCCTCAGCCCTCAGGCACTCCCTCCCTGTTTTCTGCTCTGGGGTGACCAGCAGGCTTCTCATGTCAGTGCTTCTTCCACAGCGATGATGAGTTTGTCCCCTACGACATGTCAGGGGACCAAGAGCTGAAGAGTGGCAAGGTGCCCATGTACATCCGGGACTGTGTGGAAGGTGGGCCTCCCTAAATGGCTTGGGCCCCTGCTGGGTGCCCTGTGGCAAGGCCTCAGACTTGAGCACAGCCCTGCCCTGGGATGGTTGGGCCATTGGACCTGTTCATGTTCTGGGGGTTCACCTGCCTTCTGCCCAGGGCCCAGGCTCTGGCTGCTGGCTCTGCCGTGGTCAAGGTCAGGGCCAGGGAATGATGGAGGCCTGTCTGGGTTCAGCCCTGACCACGTCTGAGGACTGGGAGTACTGGGAGGCGGCCCTGCGGGCCCTCGAGAGGCTGGTCTTCAGGAACCCGGCTGCCACTCGGGAGGTAAGCAGGTAGAGGGGCTGGGCTGTCAGGGTCACGGGAGGTGGGCAGTGTCTTGGGAGGAACATGTACCATGAGGGAACCTGATCTGGCTTGTGTCGTGTGCTTTGGTGGCTCTGTATGCTTCTCGGAGGCCTGTACCTACTGGGAAGGGAGGTGGAGGACACAGAGTCTCAGGCTCTCCAAGATGTGTCCTTTCCATTGTAAGGAAAGCCAAAGACTGCGAGGGGCCTTGGGCAGGTCCGGGGGCTAAAGGCACCCTGACATGTTTGCAGGTGAGCGTGGAGCTAGCCAAGGTGCTCCTGCACCTGGAGGAGAAGACGAGTGTGGTGGGATTCGAGGGGCTGCGCCAGAGAGCCCTGGTGGCCGTCACAGTCACAGACCCAGCCCGGGTGAGTCTCAGTGGCTGTTGGGTGCCAACGTCATACCCCCACATTGTGTCTGTGTTGGGGCCCTACCTCTGGGGTTGTGATCCATAGTGACCTGTCATCTGCCTGGTTCAGGTGGCGGAGTATCTGACCTCACAGTTCTACGCCATCAACTACAGCCTCCGGCAGCGCATGGACATCCTGGACGTGAGTGCCTGGGTCCCTGTCCCACTTGTCTAAGCTGCCCTGATGGGGGGGCGGGGCAGGCCTGGTGCAAAGCCAGGGAGCAGGTGTTTGCCAAAATCTATGTGGGCAGGACCAGAGGCCTCCTGGGTAACTTGTCATTGCACCTGAGAGCCTGGGACCAGCATCTGTCTGATTAAAAGAAAGAAATTCAGCCCTGGCCGGTTTGGCTCAGCAGTTAGAGCGTTGGCCTGCGGTCCGGAGAGACCCGGGTTCGGTTCCCGCTAAGGGCACGTACCTTGGTTGCAGTTTGTCCCCGGCCCTGGTTGGGTCGTGTGGGTGGCAACCACTCGATGTGTCGCTTTCACGTCGATGTTTCTCTCTCTCTGTCTCTCCCTCTCACTCTATCTGAACAAAATATCGAAAAATGTCCTTGGGTGAGGAAAAAAAAACAAAAAAACAAAACAAAACAAGAAATTCTGACACCTGCTACAGTGGGGATGAGTCGAGGACGTTTTGCTTGGTGAAAGAAGCCAGACACAAAAGGCAAAAGGTGTATGAGTCCACTTACATGAGGATCCTAGAGGAGTTAAATCTGGGAGACAGAATAGAATGGTGGGTGCCATGGGCTGAGGGAGGGGGTGGGGAGTTGGTGTGTAACGGGGTCAGAGGTTCATTTTGGGAAGCTGAAGTTCTGGAGCTGGAGGGTGGTGATGGTTCTACAACAGTGTGCGTGTGCTTCATGTCACTGAACTGTGCACTTAATGGGTGAGGTGGTACACGTTATGTGTATTTTACTAGAGTAAAGCAAAGACTAAAACAACACCAAATTCACCATTTTACTGTTTACAACTCAGTGGCCTTTGGTACATTCACAATGTTGTGTGACCGTCACATCCATCTTTCAGAAAATCTTGCATCACTCGCAGAAGACAGCCCTCGAGCACTGTCTCCCCCTCCCCGAGCCCCTGCTCTGTGGATTTGCCTGTGCTGGGTGCTTCCCATGAGGGAGGTCATATCTGTGGCCACCTAGGTCTGGCTTCTTTCACCCGAGTGTTTTCAGGGCCCACCCACACGTAGCCTGTGTTCCTTTTCCCGTGAGGCAGGGGGCAGGGAAGAGAAGCAGCCCGAGCAAGGGAGTGAAGGCTCTGGCCAGTCGCCAGGGAACATGCTCACTGTCCCTCCTGTCCCCCCACAAAGCAAAATGATGCTGAGATACTTGGAACTGATTCTCTATGTGGTTCCCTGAGCCTCCCCCGGAAGATGGCAAGAGCTGCTGGTGCTGATGGGACACTTGGTTTTCCTTGAACTAGAAAATGTTATCCTGCAGAGTGACAACGGCTGCCCTGGGTCTTTCTGTCCCCTAGGTCCTGGCTCTGGCAGCCCAGGAGCTGTCTCGGCCTGGGCGCCTCTGGAGAGCTCCCCAGTGCGGCTCCCCGGGCCCCACCTGCCAGCCCGGCTGCACTGTGGCTCCCACCTGGCGGGCAGTGGTGGATGAGAGGATCAGAAGGAAGACCCGGCGGTTCTCAAAAGTGAGCCAGGCCTCGGGTCAGGTCCTGATGGTGGGGACTTTGGGCAGCTGCCTGAGCGGTCTGCTACCTCTAGGTTCCGTCGGGGCGGCTCCAGTGTTGGTCTTCTGTGAAGGGAGGGAATCTGGCACAAACTGAGTGATGTGACATGCTCTAGGGTATCAAACAACTGGTTTTAAAACATGAATGCAGAATTAGGTGTGACGAAAAGCCCCAAGAAATCTGCGTCAGCAGCAGGTGACTTGGGACGGCCGTGTTGTTGGGGGTCGCCTAGGCCAGGCTGATCTTGACCCCCAGGGACATTTGGCCTTGTCTGGAGACTTTCTTGGTTGTCACGGGGTTGGGTGCCACTGGCATTCAGCCCTTGAGGCTGCTTACCCTCCATGGCACAGGACGGCCCCTCCATGAGGGTCCTGCTTGGGGAAGGCAGGCGCGCTCCGCACGCAGTGTGGCGCCGTGAGCTCTGTGTGTTTGGCAGGGCTCTCCCAAGCGGCGACCAGCTGGCAGCCCCAACGGGTTCAACTCGGTGGCTGGCTACTTCTTCTTCCCCCTCATAAAGGGCTTTGACAGGTGAGTGGGAAGCCTGTGATTTGGGGACATGAGCCCCGGATACCTCCGAGGACAGGAGGCTTCCCAGGGTGGGTCTGAGGTGGGGCTTTGGGCAACAGCGGGATGGTGACTTTGGCTGTGGTTGTTCGTAGCCTTAGCTTGAATGAAATGACATGGTAAGGGCATCAGGGGTCACCCGCCCTCCACAGATGTCAGGTTGGTGGGGCCAGAGCCTTGCTGTGGTGTCTCCATGCTGCCAGTGCTCTGCCCACCCTCCTGTGCTGTGTCCAGCTCAGCCCAAGTGGGCTGTGGACGTTCCCTTGGCCACCGCCACCCAGGGGTGATACTTGTCATGACGGAGAGGGCCAGGGCCTGGAGCCCGTCCCTTCGGAGGCAGGACTGGGGCTGCCGCCTTTGTTGCGTGTGGCTGGGTGGCGGCCTTGCTTCCCTCAAGTGCCACAGCCCCTCCTCCTGACCAGGTCCTGGCTTGTGCCAGGCAGCCTTGCAGAGTGACCGGGTGCCTGTCTAATCCCTTTTCCTTTTGGCTCTGGGTGCCTCATGGGGACAGGTGGTGAGCAGCAGCATCCAGGCCGCAGGGATGTCAGTTGGTGGGGTGGCCCAGGAGGTTGGGGAGTTGGCTGAGTGCGTGACCTGCACCATTCGCCTGGTTCTGTGTTGTAGGCCTCTGGTGACCTTCGACCTTTTGGGAGATGACCAGTTGGTTCTTGGGAGACTGGCCCACACCTTAGGGGTCCTGATGTACCTGGCTGTGAACACCACGGTGAGCTGGGAGATGGCAGCTGAGGGCCCCCTTTGTGTGGAGTGTGCCAGTGCTTTGTCCTTCCCGTGGACCTCACCGAAGGGACAGGAGTGTTGGGACCAAAGTCTCCCAGGTGGGGACTGCTGGGTGCCAGGACTCCTGCCCAGGGCCTCTGTTGTTTCAGGTGGCTGTGCCAATGGGCAAGGCTCTGCTAGAGTTCGTGTGGGCCCTCCGCTTCCATGGTGACACGTGCGTGGCTGAGGGAGTGAGGGCAGTGGTCCCTGTGGACACGGGGTGGGGGCTCTGAATCTTAGAGGGTGGGTGTCGGGGGGTTGATGGCAGCTCCTGGGGTGGCCGAGAGGCAGCTTGGCCCCGAACTGAGGAGGAAGGGGCAGCGCGGGGCCAGGTGTGCTTTTGTTGCCGGCATGGCTGCTGTGCCTGGAGGAAACTCAGGGTCTTCGGGGCTCGACTGTGGCCCCACCGGGGCTTAGCCCTCCGCCTTGCTCGGCAGCTACGTGCGGCGGGGCCTGCTGTCTGCCGTCTCCTCCGTCCTCCTCAGTGTTCCGGGCGAGCGACTGTGGGAGGATCTGCCAGATGAGCTGCTGGAAGCCCGGTTATGGCTGGCAGGTGAGCGCCGGGCCCCAGGCTGCAGGAGCAAGGTGGGCGGGAGGCTGGTGCAGCCGGGGGCTTCCAGAGGCCGTCAGGGTGCATGCAACACCGGAGACTCCTGAGCTGAGCGAGCCCCAGGCCAAGCGTGAGTGTCGTCCCTCCTTGTCTGCATTCTAAGTGGTCCCCAGGGTGGGATGGGAACATGGCCGTTGTTGGGGGTCACTGGGGAGTCCTGAGTAGGGACCTCAGAGAAGGTGCCCTGATGTGGAAGCTGCCATCTGCATTCATTCTGGAAAATTCCAACTCTTCAGAAAGGTTACAAGACAAAGTGAGCACTACATACCCTCCAGGCAAGGATCCTGAGCTGTCTGCACCCCAGCTCCTCCAGTACACTTGTCCCCAGTGTCAGTGTGGGTTTCGCTGCTTATGTCTCACGTGTGTCGGGACGGTTCTGGGTGGTGCCAGGTCTTTCTCGGGGTCTCGTGCTGCAGGCCGCTGGCATCCAGCGTCCCTCATTCCAGGATGGCTCCATTGTCTTGGGGTGCAGGCTCTTTCTCTGGGGTGAGAGCTGCAACCCTGGAGTGACTGGAGGGCCGTGTGTTGACTCCTCCCAGCTAGCTGGAGCTCCTAGCCTGGGTGGCTGGGAGCATGGCTCCTGCTCGGTGACGCAGGACAGAGCCCCTTGCAGGCGTCTGCAGTACTTCTGTCACAGGGACCTCAGTAAGAGGGTTCTGGTGCCACAGGCCTGAAGTTCAGGGCAGCTGGAGGACTTAAATGAAATTGAAGAGGGCTGGCCTGTTCAGCACCATGCAATGCTGCCTGTGTTCTGGTCTGTTGTCATCTTTGGCAGATGTGGCTGAGAAGGACCCGGATGAGGACTGCAGAATGCTGGCTGTGAAGGCTCTGCTGCTTCTGGAGAAACTCAAAGACAAGCTCCTTCCACTGCCTTCTCCTTAGTCCCGACACCACTCCTGCTGGAAGAAGGGAAGGCCGGGAGGCCCGAGCGCGGCCTGAGGAGCCGGGCTGACGTGTGGACTTTGTGGTGGAGCCACTTGGGTGGGCCATCCACCCGGTACTACTGAGCGTGCAAGCAGGAAGGCCCTCACTCTGCTGCTGTTTATAGCCCAGAGGTCTGCGTGCTTAGCTAAAAATGCACGCCAGGGCCTCTGGGTACTGCCCCCAATGACAGCACCCTGAATGCTGGGATTGCGGGTCCGGAGGAGGGACTCGGACATGGGGCAGGCTCTGCAGGCAGGCGGCTGGAGGGGATGGGGGAGGGCACTGCTGCTTGGGGCCTGGATACACTCCAAAGGGAGCTGCCAGATGGGCAGAGCAATGGACTGCTGGGACCCTGTGGGCTTCTTGGCATTGTGTCCTCAACCCTTTTCCTCACCTAAAGGCAGGTGTTAAAAAAAAAAAAAAAAATAGCCCGGCTGGTGTGGCTCAGTGGTTGAGTGTTGACCCATGCACCAGGAGGGTGCTGGTTTGATTCCCGGTCAGGGCACATGCCCAGATTGTGGGCCTGATCCCCAGTGGGGATCATGCAGGAGGGGGCCAGTTGATCTCTCTCATCGATGTTTCTATGTCTCTCTCCCTCTCACTTTCTCTCTAATCAATGAAGAAAAAAAAATTTTAAAACAACAACAAATAGTAAAATAAGAATTAAAGGAGCTACAGGTACTCAGACCTACACTTTGTGGTTCTCACTGTTTGGGCAGGGACCTCAGAACCTAGACAAGCCCTCCAGAGGGGAGAAGTGAAAACGTGGGGCAGGACGGCAGGAAGGGGACACAAGCCTCTGAGGAAATAAACTTTATTAGGAGAGTTTCAGCAGCCAGTGGGTGGAGACTGAGGTCCCCCTCCCCTTGAGATGTCATGGTACCAGCTCCTCCCTCAAAGAGGGAGCTGGTGACAGAAAGGGCACAGGCTGCCTTGCAGAGAACCCGCCTACTGGCCACTCCGCTGTCTGCCCAGGAGTGGTCAGGAACTGGGTATCCTGCTGGAAACCGTTGGATGTATTTATTTGTCAAGCAGCCTACTTAAGTGCTGGGATAAGGCACAGTGAATATACCAACATCCTTGGTTTGTGAAGTTCTAGAAATTTCTCAGTTTTACAGTCTACTTGGAGAATGCCATGTGAAAAATGAACCAACTCCCTTATCAGTAAAGGGGCTAAACTAAAGTTTCGCAGGACCAGAAACATGGATGGGCTGGCTTAAAAATGCACATTCCTACCCTGGCTGGCATTGCTCAGTGGTTAGAGCAGCAGCCCACACCAAAGGGTTGTAGGTTTGATTCTCAGTCAAGGGTATGCACCTGCCTTGCAGCTTCCATCCCCTGCCCTGGTCGGGGCACATGCAGGATGCAACCAATTTTGTGTCTCTTACAGTGATGTTTCTCTTGCCCCTTCCCCCCCATCCCTTCCACTCTCTAAAAATCAACAGAAAAAATATCCTCGGGTGAGGAATAACAACAAAAAAATTCACGCTCTCCATCTAAGCAGGCCAGCCTATGCCCTGGGCCCTCCAGGTATGCACTCAAGTTTTTTCCAAAAAGAAAAGTCGGCTCTTGCTACTACTGATAACCATTAAGTTCTAGAAGAGCTTTAGCAGCAGCAGGCCCTCAGGGGCCATTCTCGACCTCCTCCATCACCTCCTCATCCACCTCCTTAGGGTCCTCCATGCTGTTGTGGTGGGTCCGCTCCAGCACAGCGCGAGCCAGAGGGATGCCCAGGCCCTGGTGCACAGCATCCACAGTCCTCTGGTTCACGTAGTAGAGCACCTTGGCAGCGGGAAGCCTCCTCCGCATCTCCTCCAGATACTTGTAGGCCTGCGTCACACAGAACAGCCAGTGCTGGTTAGTCCACATCAGAAACAAGGGCCCATGCCCTTCACTGTAATGAGTTTCCTGAACTGCCCCCAGAGGTCAGAAGACAGCCGCCCCAGCGTCTGAAGCCAGGGACTTAGGTGTAGTCTGTGACTTCCAAGCCTTTCCAAGGGTGGTGGTGTCTGAGGACAGCCCAGCTCAGGCCCTGATGGTCAGTGCTCTAAGCTGTCATCAGTACTACCAGCCGAATAGGTACAGCCAGCTCCCTGGAAAGCTGTGAGCAAGACCCCATGTGTGTTTTGGGACCATGCTCCCTTGAGGATCTGAATACACCCTGGATGTACACAGGAGACTCAGGGAAGGATGGGTTCATGTCTCCCATCTTTTTCTTACACTCCGGGGCATATGCTTATCTGGTTGAGGGTGGGCAGCAATATGTACATGTTTTTTCTTATTTATTTTGACCAAGCATCCAGTTTGCCCCAGTTTATTAGGCCTATGATTGATTTGAATCTCTGGTATGTATGGTCCTTGATCCTAGGCTGGTAAACTATAGAACTGTCAGTTTTCTGTATAACTTCTTCTGGTTCTGCCAGTGGGAATATATGGAAGAACAAGAGGGTGCCACACAGAGCAGCTTGGGGTGGGGGGTTTGAGGTAGAACTAGAGTGCTTACATCTGCTCTGACATCTGACACCAGCCCACACCTAGCACGCCTGCTCACACCTGCCCACACGTCCTATGTCTGCCCACACGTGCCATGCCTGCCTGCACCTGCTAACACTTGCTATACCCGTGCCCCCCCCCAGGGAGGGCCACATGTCAGGACGAGGGGGAAGGAAGAGGGCTTCATGTGGCTTCTAAGGCTTACCCACAAGGCACACTTTATATCAATCCAGAATGTGATAATTTCTAGCAGCTTTTCATTTTTCTTTGCGAGGAATAATGATCAGATCTTAGTATTTCTTAAGGGTGATAAATATATATGTATATATTTTTTATCCTCACCTGAGGGCATTTTTTGATATTTTGTTCAGATAGAGTGGGAGGGAGAGAGAGAGAGAAACATCGATGTGAAAGGGACACATCGAGTGGCTGCCACCCGCACGACCCTGCCAGGGCCGGGGACAAACTGCAACTGAGGTACATGCTCTTAGCAGAAACTGAACCTGGGTCTCTCTGGACCACAGGCCGACGCTCTAACTGCTGAGCCCAACAGGCCAGAGTGGGTGATAAAAATTTTTAAAGCAATTTTATTTTGGACAGAGATAATTAAGATATTAAAAGTAAATAAAAGATACAGATTACAACGAAAAATATAAAGATAAGATATGGTTTTTGGAGGGTGGGGGAGGGGCAGAGCACAGCTCCAGGGTTTGCAGACCAGAGGAAGAGGACAGCTGCGCGGGAGGAGGCCTCTGTAAGGATTTGCCACTGGCCTGCTGTGGGCCAGGCGCTGTGCTAGGCACACAGGACACAGCACCAAGACCAATGCCGGCCAAGCGTGGGGAGGGTGGCTGGAGCTGCAGGGGGCGTCCAGCGAGGTCTGACAGCGAGGGAGTGCCTGCCCTGAGGAGGAGGGAGGGGGCAGGAGCTGATGAGGGAAGAACCAGGTGGTCAGAAAGGACCAAGCAGTGTAACTCCTTGGTATGCAGAGCTGATTTCTTTAACAAAGGGCAGGAGCAGAGTTTCTAGAAGGAAGACATAGTCACCAAAGACAGATAAAGGACAACAAAAATGTTGCTGGACACCCTGACCCCTGAAGATACTCACTGTCCAACATCAGGAGCCTGTCAGGACTTGACTCTGATGATGCAGTGAGAACCGTTTGGAAGCGAAACAGGAAGGACACCAGAGCAGCAACAAGGGATTTTCTTTGTCCATCAAGAGGAAACTCGTATATGCCTAGACTTTCTAAATTTATGTATAGATTTTGTTGTTGTTAATCCTCATCCAAAGATATTTTCTCCACTGATTTTTTTTTTTTTTTATAGAGAGAGTGGAAGGGGGTCAAGGAGGGAGAAAGAGAGAAACATTGATGTGAGAGAGACACATCAATTGGTTGCCTCTCACATGCACCTCGACTGGGGCCAGGGATTGAACCTGCAACCCAGGTATGTGCCCTTGATGGGGAATCAAACCTGAGACCCTTCGGTGCTCGGGTTGATGTTCTAACCATTGAGCAATACAGGCCAGGGCTATCTGTAGGTTTCAAACAAGGATCAAGACAACAAAGAATTTGTTCAAATACTTAAAATGTGATTTCTCTGTTAATTTTGAGGATATAGTGCTCTAAGCATCTTCACAGTCCAATTTTCTCTCTATTTCACTTTTTTCTCCTTGTTGAGATTAGATTTAGAGTTGTTTTCTCCCAACAAAAATATGAGTGAGTGGACATGATGGGGGGCAGAGGAAGTAAGTGCTCAGATCAGGAAATCTGGGTTTCATGGTGCTGACCTTTCACACCGGGGGGAGCTGCTGATGAATTCTGAAAATTTCCTGTGAGTTCTGAAAACTTCAGCCTAATGAGGCTGGCACAGTCCACTAGCAGTACTTCTGAAGGTAACTTGTCAGTACATGGTTTACGAGTACTTAGGAAGGAGAACGGAGAGATTCCTTGGGTTACTGTGGTCTCACCAGAAACTATCTGCTAGTTGACTCAGCTGCTGGTTGAAGATGTTGCAGGCATGTATGTGGCGGTTTGGCAAAGTCTATATGACACCCTTTGGAATACAAAGGAAAAATGTATCTAGGTATAATTCCTATGTTGGTTACTGGAGTTATGATTGAAGAGAATGAGAGAGAAGCTTCTGGTAATGGCAGAGTAATTCCTATTAGACCAAACTGCCCACACACGGTGATAAGCTGGCCAAAATGTAAAGGCGCTGACACAACCTTGGGCAGGAAGATGGGAAGCAATTGACATCTGGAAGAAGGGAGGATTCTCTGTCTAATTGTAACTTTTATCTCATGGGAGGCCTCAGTCAGGGCTACTGTGAGAAGCTAAAAGTCACATAGGAAAAACAAAGGCACATAGAAACCCACACCCTTACTGACTTAAAAAACCAGAATCAAAATTGGGGTCAACCACAACAGCTGGAATGTGAGGAAATACTGGAAAGAGAGAGTCATTGAGGGAGAGCTCAAATTCTGAGTGTGAACTCTGCCCTGATCTCTGGTGGACCCTGCACTCTTCCTGTGGTGGGGACAGGGGCTGACTTCAAGGAGCTGGACCAAAGCTAATGTATTGAGCAGAGATTCTAGTGGCTTCCCACCACAGGGGAGAGTTTAGACTCTGAGTTGAGCAAAGATGATTACAGAAAGGAAGAAAGGGAGGGAGGGAGGAAGGGAAGGGAAAGAAACAAACAGGAATATCCTTTGGAGGAACATAATAGAATCCAGAGTCTCTACAATGGGTTATCCCATCGGATAGCATTGTATTCATAGTAAGAAGCTAGGAAAATTCCTTGACAAGTGGAATAAGGGCAACTGAGACAAAATAATTAAACAAAGCAAAATTATTTGAGCAATTTACAGTCAGCTAATGAATCACAGATTTTATCTTCCCTAAC